TTCTCTATTGCATCCTCTGCAATGAGGACATCTTTCCCCAATGATCGTACTGTATCCTTTATCTTCCCTTGTTTCAATTCTAAGAGCAACGCAGTTCCTTGTCTATTTTTCTCTAAACCCGTGAACTCTTGCCACAGCTGCAGGTCTAACTTCCAATTGCAGTAGTCCTGATCCTCACTGTATGCCGGAGGTGCTTTGTATTTACTAGTTACTCTAACTGTCTCTGGGGGTGCCATTGCGTCCTTCTCTGCTACCACTTGTTACCTTTAATGGATCACTATGCAATGAAACACACCAGTTATTACAAGTAATTATCAAACCCCACAGACAACATGTATGTGGCACATTCTGAAATATAACACAATTAGTATATATATATATTATATCGATTATCATAAATATATAAACCAAGTATATAGCAATTCACATTCACATCGTATTTCGTTATAATATTGAGAGTACTTATTGGCCTGTATTCCATCGGAACAGTACACAATTTGTGCATTCAAGGCTACTCTAGGGTATTTGAAATCTAGTTTGATGTGAAACTCAACCGTTTTTCTGTTGCAATGTGTATCCATTGTAAAGAGGTTTCACTGCATCATGAAAGCAGCCCCATGACATTTGACCATCATATATGATTTAAGAAAAGGTGTTTCCTGTGTTCCTTGTAGTGAATCTGAAGATATTATTGTTGTTAAACTTGACAAAAACTTTTTTAAGCTTGATTTTGATCTATTTTTAGTATGTTATTATATTAGCCCTGCATATTCGTCCTATGTCAAGAAATATCCCGACTATACTGCTAAGACCTTCTCTGCTCTTGACACCCTCTGTATTAGACTACGTCAAAAAGGAGAAGTTATCATGTGTGGCGATGCAAATGCAAGAACTGGAAAACTCCCAGACTATATCCTCTCTTGTAATGCACCTGCCATGCATGACATCTATAATGATATTGGACTTGAACATGACATTGAAGAACCCAGAAACAACTCTGACCTGACTATATCTGAACCCCACTGCCAACATTTTCTTGACATGGTTATTAATAACCAACTGAAAATTCTTAATGGGCGTACCCTCGGGGACACCACTGGAAAAATGACCTGTCACAAATATAATGGAAGCAGTGTGGTCGATTATTTTGTAATCACCTCGTGGGCAAGAGATCATGTAAACTCTCTTCAAGTTAAAGAGTTTACATCATACTCTGACCACTGTCCCTTAGTCTTGAAACTCACCACATTCGAACCATTTGTTGCCAACTTCCAGCTCCCAGACTTTTCTAATTTACCGTGTGGCTATAAGTGGGACAACAACAACTCCCACTTACTATTTAAAGCAGCCCTCAACTCGCCCGAAATTGTCCATAATCTGGAATACATTGTAGCAAACGAATTTAGCGGCACCTTGGAGGGCAATAATGAACTGAACGATGCAATTACTAACTGTCTCCACAGTGCTGCTGATATAGCATTAAAAGTGAAAAAACCTCCTAAAAATTCTGCCCAAAAGAAATGGTTTGATCCACAAGTCAACTCCTCGAGACGCAACCTAAATAGGCTAGCAAACCGGCTAGGTAGTAAACACTGCAACAACATTCTCAGACGAGAATATTATAAGCAACGCAATAAGCACAGCAATCTTGTTAACAGTAAGAAATTATCCTTTCTTAGGAAGCTAAATGAAGCTATTGAAGAGGGTCATATTCTTGACTGGAAAAAATTTAAAAGGCTAAAACAAGAACATGACACTAGTCCCCTACTAGACAAATTCGATCTGGCTAGCTTTCATGATTTCTTTGCTTCCCTCTATAATAAACCAGACCAGGAACCAGATCTCACTCACCACAATCACAGACATTACCCTGAACCACCAGATCTGGACATCCTAAACAAGCCCATATCTGATTCTGAACTTACTTCCGCAATCAAAAAGCTCAAAAAGGGTAAAAGTTGCTCAAATGACTTGATCTCAAACGAGATGCTTCAGAGCCTAACTCCGCTTTGTTTCCAAGTCATCCTCAAAACATTCAACCACTCTCTGGTCTCAGGCTACTATCCATGGCATACCAGTATTATCACTCCTATCTATAAATCAGGCAACCCCTTCAGCCCAGACAATTACAGAGCAATAGCAGTTGGCAGTTGTATGGGTAAGCTGTTCTCTAGCATTTTACTTGAACGTCTGTTACACTTCAAAAAGCTCTACTGTCCTGACCCAAAAGAACAGCTTGGATTTTCGAAAGGTGCCCAAACTAACGATCACGTTTTCACCCTCAAGACAGTAATTGACAAATACACAAAAGCTAAAAAGGCTCGTCTTTATGCATGCTTTGTTGATCTAAGAAAGGCCTTTGACACTGTATGTAGGGACCTCCTTCTGCACAAAATTACATGCCTTGGAATAACCGGTAACTTCTTCAACTGCCTAAGTGATATGTACAAAAACTCTATTGCCCATATAAAAATTTCCAAACTCTTGTCGCCTAAAATTGATATTGGCAAAGGAACGGAGCAAGGACACCCCCTATCGCCAGACCTCTTTAAAATCTACATTAATGACTTTTCATCTCTCCTGAAATCTGTTGGTGACTATCCAGTTCTTGCTGACGTTCTGATATCACATCTGCTGTGGGCTGACGATCTTGTCCTTCTTGCTCTAAGTCCCGAGGCCTTGCAAGTCAATATCAACATTCTATTTGATTTCTGTAACTCCATGGGCCTTGAAGTAAATATTAAGAAAACTAAGATTGTAATATTCAGCCCTCCCAAACGAAAGCAGTCCTATGAAACATTCACATTGGGAGGTCAGCCCATCCAGCACACCGATAAATACTGCTATCTTGGCATAATATTCCACAGAAATGGATCGTTTACAGCAGCAAATACTGAGCTGAGGGCCAAGGCTCTCCGTGCTCTCTATGGCCTCAAAGGCAAAATAGTTAAGAATGCCCTCTCACACCGTGCCCTTAATATTCTATTTGACTCCTTAATAAAACCAATCCTGCTTTATGGCTGTCAAGTCTTATGCCCCCACTCAAAAACCATGAGATACCTTTCAAAAATAGATGACAAAGCCAACCCCCAGCATACCTTGAAGTACATTGCACAAGACCACTATGAAAAATTCCACCTAAAGTTTATCAAGTGGTCTTTGTCTGTACATTCAAAAGCATCAAATATAGGTTGCTGGGGCGAAAGCGGGCGCCACCCTCTATTCTTTGAAGCCTGCAAACTTGCAATAGATTACTATAGTCGCCTTGAAAACACTGAAAACGAACTACTCTGTGCTGCAATTCACGAACAAATCATGTTGGGACTTCCTTGGTATACCAACATCTCAAAGCTTCTCACCAAATACAACTTCACCCCCTCATCTTCCTCAAAATCCAAGCTCTCCACCCAAATCAGTCATAACATGAGGGAAGAATTCGTGAATACCTGGAAAGCTGCCAAGGCCTCCTCGCCAAAACTAGAATTCTATAACTTAATTAAACATGATTTCGAACCAGAGGCATACCTACGAATTATCAAAATACCGGATGTTCGAAAAAGTCTGACAAGGTTTCGTATCAGCTGCCACAACCTCTACATCGAAAGGGGCAGATACGAAACCCCCCTTGTACCAAGAGAAGAACGTTGGTGCACCTTCTGCTTTTTCCGCAAAGGGCTCAAGCCTATTGAGGACGAAAGTCACGTATTGATTGACTGTTTGCTCTACTCCTCAGTTAGGGAAAAATTCAATTTCCATCCCCTAAACATTACTGACCTAGTCGGTCTGCTCTCCAACAAAACTCTAGATCCTACCACACTCACTGCCACAGCAAGAGCAATCCATTCAATTCTCTCTGTGAACGAAAATTATACAGCCTACTATAAGAGCCCAGATTTCCACTCAAATACTGGCAAGTGCATAATGCTATAGGACCTTAAAATAAGATTGAACCATACAAACTCGATTTATCTATTTTTCTAAAACTAGCATTATATAACATTTCTAAATTATCCCTACACACTTGTAAATAATTAGAATTGTGTAACTTAAATTATTTCAGAATTACAACTATTGTGTACTCAATAAAGTAATTATCACTTTTGTATCCTTGTATCCTTGTATCCTTGTATATAAGATGCATATGTATTCCTCTTGCTTAAACAGATCAATTTGCCAAATGCTATAACTTATCACTGTACTTTCACATATTTTAATTTTCTATTTATGTTGTTGAACCACTAAATACAATTTAATGTAAATTGAGAGGCAGTAAAACTATCAGACTGCAATGAATGGGGACTTGCCATCCCATGGCCATGGCAACATTAAGATAAGGGGTATACATACGTATATCGACTCAATTACATTGCTTCCTTAACAAATGTAATCGATTTGTACTTTGTAGTGTTGTAATTGGTTTATACCTCTCCATTAGTGTAGAGCTGCAGCCCTGTCTGTCGAAAAACGTCTCTTATATAATACTCGATCAAAAACCATTCAATTAAAATTCACTTGGTCCCCTACAACCATCCCAGTATGAAAGAAGCTTACAGCTTAACTTAAACAACCTTCTCTAACCCCTCATACTATCACTTGGTGTTAAATAATGTGTATTCTCCAGTCTCCACACAAAATACATCTGACACAAAAACTGTTGATACAGAATCATATCTTTCGTTTTGTTATGAATAGATTGCCCGAAATTGTTTGAACAGTGAGGATATAAATAAGACATAAAAGCCTACTAAAACGACAATTATTTGTACAATTCTCTTACCATACAAAAAGTGTTTTCAGGCTCTTAAGCTCACTCACTAACTTGTGGCCCAATATCTCATTATAAATTGTTATTAAAGATTTTATCAAAAATTTCTATTCTCTTACCTTTACTTATCTTACTTATCTTAGCACAATCATTTAATCTCTGCCAAGCGTGATTTTTTGTTTTAGGCCTTAAACTTCTGTCTGTATTTCATTACACTTTTTATTAATCAATAGCATATAATAGTTCAATCTTTAGAGTGTCTATGAGTAGAAAGCTGGTCAAAATGCTTACTTTCTTGAAGTCTAGAGCTGACAAGACTCTTCCATCCTCAATTGTGTTAGGAAATAATGCCTGTGATCTTGATTCTGTCGTTTCAAGCATCATGTATGCTTATTTCTTGGATGCAACAGGTAATAGTCCATTTCTTAGCTGTAGATGTAGGACTGTCTCAGGTCTGAGCTGAAATTCCAAACTTAAATCAATCATTTGTTTTCTAGTATACTTCTGACCATGCCTTGGTGTACTGGCCTTAATTATTCCTTGACATCAGTTCATTGTGGGACATCAAATATCCTTTAAAATGAAGACTGAAATATCTTCATCAATTTCAGTTGAACCGACATCACCTGTCCTCTGTATACCAAAGAAAGATGTAACATTGCGGACCGAAGTTACATTTATGCTTGATAAGCTCAAGATTCCCATTGATGACTTGATATTCCTTGATTCACCACAGATAAGCGACATCCAATATAAGCACATTCGATTACATTTAGTGGACCACAACAAATACGATAACAGTTATCTCAACCTAGAATCCTTTGAAGTTGCATCAATCGTTGACCATCACAGTGATGAAAATAGCCCTTGCACAGGATACAAAAAGATCGAACGTGTTGGATCTTGTGCTAGTTTGATAACATCTCTGTTTAAAACAGATCAGTCATCACCAAATCCTGCTGTGTCCTTCACAGATAAAATGAGGTTGTTTTTGGCCGGGCCAATATTGTTGGACTCAGTCAACCTAGACTTCAGTAAGGGTAGAACACATCAGGTTGATGTTGAAATGTTTGAGTTTTTGTCAATACCTGACCGTGATAAGCTTTTTGAAGAGTTGACTAAAGCTAAAACAGACACATCACAACTCTCAGTTTATGACTTGTTGAGAAAAGACTGCAAACATTTTTCCAGCAAAGAAGGGCAAGTCTATATTGCATCATTGTTCGGGCCAACTTGGGAACAGTTTGCGGCCATGCCAAATTTAATTGAAGATACACAAAAATTTGTTTCAGAGCATGATATCAATGTTCTCATCGTTATGATAAGATCTGACGAACTCTTTCAGCTATTGTTAACTGTAGCACACGGCACCCATCTTATTAGCGAGGATTGCATAAGTGATATCACTGACAAGTTAGAACTTGTTAAATTGCAGGATTATCAGCCTGACAGCTGGCTTGTTTATGAGCAGTTAAATATCAAGGCTTCACGCAAGGTTGTTTTACCACTGTTCAAATCATGGCTTGAAGGGTAATTTAATTTTAAGGAATTTGATGCCAGTTTTATCCATAAAACACGATTACGTTTTGTCTTATTTTTGTCACTTCAGTAAACATATGTAGTAATGATGTTTCCCCAATATTTTTCTACTTTCTTCTTTCATATCATTTGATGGTAATCTGGCCTTTAACTTATTGTAAAACAACACCCTGGCTTATTTTGTACTTATCTTATCTCCTTGTTTGATGTTTTATATGCAAACATGCATTTTATTCTGCTGTTATTTATTTGTGTATATGTTGAATTTATCTTGATGTGGTATTTTGTGTTTTCGAAGGTATGTATCTGCTGATCAGTGATTACTGTGATGACGATAAAAAAACACGTCTCTCGTTTCTCAATGTCAAAACTAGGAGCACTAAATATAATGGTGCTGAAATACTTATCTATTTAGTGTTAAACATTGGTGATAAATTTAGAATTATTCACTCGACAACTGCACTTAAGTTTGTTCACTTAACACAACAATTTTAATAGGATATGTTGAGTTTACTTGTGGTGCTGGCCCTCTTCGGAGCTTCTCATGGTAAGTAAATTTTGGGGCCGGGGGTTCTGTTTCAATTATAAACTTGCCAGAGTATATTATGGAGTGACTCATACTTGTTACAAATGATTTGTATTATATTTAAAACAAATGCAATGTTCATAATTTTTCGGCCCAACTGTAAAGCGAAAGCAGCAATACAACTGGATCTTTATGGTTTTGTTTGTTTTTTTGTTATCAGATTATAATTGCAGGCTGCAGTGGAGACAGTTTCACAGTGACATCCTACACAACCACTAACCTACCTCTGGCCACAGAAACTGCTATTCTTGTTGAGTTCTCTGCTGATTGTCCTGACTCTAAACTTTCTGTTGTTATTGGTAGGTTGTTTGTAGCTGACTGCTAATTATTTAAATTTTAAAGTTGTCACCTAATTGTATGGCCAATCATCTGCTGTAGGACTTGAGGTTTTTGTAAATCGTCTTGCTGACCGTTCACATATTTCGTCAGCAAGGTTCTACAGATTTTAATATTCTAATATTCTGACGTAATACAGTTTTATTGTATGTAGCCGATACCGAAGGGATCTTGAATGATAAGTCCACGATCCGAAATGCAATGCTGTGGCTTAAATGTGGCGTGATACGTCGCTAACATTGTGCATATTGTACTTAATTGTTTACATTAGGTTTGAATTGGTTAGTCTAATTGGATCGTACACTATGGACCATGATTTCTGAACTCCAATTAGGATATAAATCTAATTAAGAGGAGTGAGCTCTTTATAATGTAACATTGTTGCGACCAGATGACTTCCCGGGACGGTGTTTATCTAACAAATTAAGCCATGAAAAGTGAAACTCTGCACAGTAAATTTAAACGTTTTGGCCAAAATTGTGGACAGTCTTCATCTAGATTCCCCCAAAACTAACCGGTCTCTCTGGTAACCAAGTTCGGGCATGCTTTTGAGAGAAGCAGTGCATATCAAGAAACTGTTTGGTCTTGGAAAGCTATAAGTTCATTATTTCAGGTGGTGAGGTATTGCCAGTATACGCTACTAATGATGGTCACATGGTTACTTTGGTGAAGGAGCACTCTGCTTTACCTGCTAGTTCATACAGCGTGAGTGATAATATATTTACTTCTATGAGTACTATAATATTTACTCGCAAATGTATTAGTATAGTGTTAGACTACAATATTTACTATAGTATTATATTTTCTGATCATTGTTATCACTGGAATATGTTCATTGGAGGCTTCCAACCCTTCCTTTGTCATGAATCATTTTTACAAGTCTTAAGGCGGAGGACCGCAGTTCAAAAAGCTAAGCCCGCAAGGAACGTAATCAAAATTCCCCTCATTTGAAAACTTCGCCTGATATTTACTTCGGTGTATCCAGACTTCGAATTAAAGCATATAATCCCTTGTATTTTGAAACAAGTGATGACAACATCCCAATTTCGCACGCTCTCTCCGTAAGGAACTTGTCCTGCTTATAATAACCACCGTGCCCTAAATGTGCCACGTGTCTGTAAACACCAAACATTACAGGTTGACTTTTACGACGAAGCTGGTATTGCAGCCTACAAGAATCACGTTAAAGATAGCGATGTTGCCGCTCCTACCCCTGTCCACTCCGCGTCCGTAAACCATCCCGTAAGTTATTGAGCAGCTCTACTAACGCTCACTATTGACTAGCACTGTCAAGTTTTCTGTTCATGTGTTCGACATTGTGTTTATATTATTGATCCTCTGATTTTGAACTTTGACCAATGTTTACCTATGAAATTAGTCCGTTTTGGAACTGACGTCACTTCACTTTTGAGTCGTGTCAGTTCTTGAAGACACGTCAGATGCAATGCGCGGAACCTGCGCAGAGGTAATGCCAGCATTTGTTTGAGCGCGCAACGTGGCAATTTGACGCGCGCACAGTCGTCATGTACCGTCATCCAAATCCAGCTCCACAATTTTGTAACCAGTTAAGTACATTGTTTTCTTTCACTCAGTAAGACAACAAAGTGACTAACTTTACTGACGCTTAATTATTTTCAGGGTGTCTCTAAAGAAGGACTACCCATTCAGACTGAATTCATCGTAATGGTTGCTTCACTCCTCGTTTGGTGGGGAGCTAACAGCATCAAAGCTAAAATCTCGGAATAAACTTATTTAATAACTTCGCATTTCAGTGATATCGTTTGCTCCTATTTCATAAAGACAATGCCTTTGTACAGTGTAACATATGTGGACGGAAGTTCGCCTTGTTTGTTAGCAGCTCGAAGAAGGCCTTTTATTTAACGTTTAATGAACTTGGGTTGACATTATCAAATTATTTGTACGTTGTTGTAGTGTTTTAAGGTATGATGGATGGTTTTTACGACATTTAGTTAGCTTCATTTGTCTAATTTGATTGTTATTTAAACTCAATGTTCCCAGAATGAATTCAATGATTACAAATTAGTACCATATTTTGTTACGTCTGTCTAACAAGTTTATCTCTTTAGCCAGTATGTTCTGGAAAGTCCTTTTGATCGCTTCTCTGTGTCTGACAGCTCAGATCACGAGATGTCAGGAGGAGGATGAGATAATGGATTCAGACGAGGAAGACGAGGAGGAACTGTTAGACGCTGAACCCCTGGACGATGGAAGCCCTCTTGATGATGGAGAGCCTATAGAACACGAACCGGTAGTTGAAGAAGCAGAGGACTTTGTGATTAAACCATCTCCAGATGCCAAAGTGTTCTACGCTTTCCCAAAACACGCTGATGAAACCATGTTCCCAGGAGGTAAAGTTGTGAAAGCTCTCATCGGTTTCCAGAACAACGGTGACTCCCCCTTTATCATTGATAACGTCGAGGGTGGGTTCCGATACCCCATGGACTACAACTATGTGATCCAGAACTTCACATCCTTCCGTTATGGCAGAGAAGTCGCTCCCGGAGTTACCCAAACTTTCCTGTATATGTTCGTGCCTAGTGAACAGCTGGCCGGAGGTTCCAGAACTTTCTCCCTTGTGATGAGTCTGAATTACCGTGGAGAGGACGGCACTCTCTACACTGACTCCCCTTTCAACGAGACCGTCTCAGTTCACGAGGTTGACGAAGGATTTGATACCGAGATCTTTTTCATGTATGTTTTGCTTGCCGCTCTTTTTGCTTTACTTCTGTTTGGCGCCCAGTACCTGTTTTCTTCTGCTTTTGGGGGTCGTAAGTCGTCGCGGAAAACAATCGAGACTGGAACAAGCGGAGGAATCGACTACGACTACATCCCTAAAGATCACCTCACCGCCAAAAAAGCTAAGGCCACTAAACGGGACTAGATCCAAAAATTATTTTAATATTTGTAATATCAAAACGTTACTCAAAATTTGCCGTCGTGTTTTTAACATAAGTTTTAAAGGTTGCCAATTCGTCCTTTATTGTAGCGTTTGGATGTTTTTTCTAGATCCATCTTTTCAGTTCAATAAACTGTTGCGTTTCGGCACGGCTTTTTAGTAGTGGGGCTCAGCTTGATCATTGAGTTGGTGATTTCTTATGAAATTTTACGGGTATTATTGTAAGTTGTATTAAAGATATTTATAATGTTGACGCTTGTGATCCAGAACTTAATAACACTGATAATAGCTCGAGAGAAATTCTTGTTGGCTGTTTTGTGTAATTTTGATATAAAGTATTGTTGAACTTATGGTTTTAATTTATATCCTTTCTCATTACTTTAAAACGAAATTGAATCACTTCTATTATTAATTCCTGTTTTAGAAAATTAATATTTCCCTCGAATCATCGTTGATCAATTCAATTGACTTAAAAATGATAAATTTTCCAATTTATCATAACGTTGAAATGTTTTTAACTAAGTTAACTCTGTGATCTAAAGCATCAAACTAACGTTCACTCCTCCAATCTAGCAATGCCCACCCCAAGTTCCGCTACTAGTGTTGGTGCTGGAGGTCGACCCTCAAGCGGCGGCCCTTCTTCCAAATCTTCAGTTGTCCGACGAGGGTGAGTGGCAATAATTCTGCCTTAAATTCATTTTAAATTGGCCTATTTTGAGGACCCTAATACCGTCTAAAGGATTGTGTCTAACATTCCTGTGTTTTCAGAAAGAGTGGTGGATCAAGCAGCACCGTTTCCCGCTCAAAACCCGGCGGTGGTAATGCTGGTATGTGGAGATTCTACACTGAGGACTCTCCCGGACTCCAAGTGTAAGTTCAGAACATTTTTCTTGTCAGTATTATTCTGCTGCATGTAGGGTTCGGACTTCGGAGAAAATGAACTGCATTTTGGCGTCACATGTCTTAGGTCTTCCAATTCATTTCTTTAATATCAAGCCACTTCTAAAATGGCCATTGGCCAACTTTTTCAGTCACGCACATGATATAATCTATAGTTACATATTTCGGATTGTATGACTAACAGGAATTTGTTTTCAGTGGACCAGTGCCAGTGTTAGTGATGAGTCTGGTGTTCATCGCTTCAGTCTTCATGCTCCACATCTGGGGAAAATGGACCAGATCTTGATTTCCTGTCACCATGCCGACAAATAAACCCTCCCAAAACTCTGAAACTGTACAGTGTACATTTTACCCCCGGGCATATGTTTTAATTTAACTTTTGTGTTGAGGTCAAACCTGTTTGATAATATCCCTTTTGGCTGTACTTTTGCAGTGATGGCTGGTTATTAGGCACGTTTTGTGAGATTGAACAGCGACTCAGGATTAATTTTAACTACGATACCCCATTTCTGACGTACTTAAAACTTTGCATACTTTCTGCAGTCTTTTAATTTCACGTAATATTATTCATGATTGTTAATTGATCGGGAAGTCTGATTATAGTTGAAATATTGGTACTTAAAGTTGAGTTTGAACAATGTGATAAGACGTGTTTTCTTTGTTATTTGAGTAATTCTCGGGAACAGCAGACACAATTTGACAATGCAAAAGTAAAATAAAGAACTTATCTAAAATTGCAAGTACATTGTACAAATTCACGAAATTTGTCAATATTTGCCTTTAAGCAAAATTATCTTTAAAAATGTCCGATCGCTCTTCAAGCCACAACGGAGTATGAAAAAAAAAAACTTGGTAAAACATTGGATTCACAACAAACAACAGGAAATTCTCCCTCAACTGAAAGGTATTTTGTAATCAAATTTGCCAGCAATCAACGATGCCACGCAAATGTATGCTGAACGTTCCTATCTTCAAATTGGTGGTTAAAAAGTTAGCGTACCACAAATAAATAGTTGGCTGTCCCTACAAAACTACATCGTTATCTCTTAACATGAATAAAGGATTCTTCATTAAAAACAAAGAATTCTCGATGATTTTCAAAGATAAAAACAAATTAAAACGGTTTCAAAGTCTCAACCAGAGTTCGTTGTCTCAATTCAATAGGATCTCCAATACTTTGTCCAGCTCCAGAAATCTGAGCCCATGAAATTATTATGTACGGTTATTCCTTCACCAGCTATTGGTAGAGTAGCGTTTTCCTTGAAATGATAGGCCGTTTAAAAATTCTTTAAGCTCAAATTCATTACGCTGGGTAATCAAGTTGAAAAAACAGAACAGGTCGATCAATTTTTGTACAAAAGAGATAATAATATAAAAAACCGGGGTACCTGCCAAGGTACCTCACGTCATGCGATTACTCATTACTACACATTAATCTGATTCACGATGAATTAAAATCTGACAATCTACTACAAATTAATCCGGACACCCTAGAATAAAAACCAAGCATGCATTCCCATGTCAATCAACATCCCAAACAAAAACTAAGAATCAATAAATTAATCTATTTGTGTTAACAATTGCGAGTTCTTTTTAACCATTCGTCAGTTCTCAGCGGCGTAAAACATTTTATGTTAAAAACATTGAGATTAAGTTCTTTTTTCTCATCAGAAGTTCATGCAATAGACATACTTCGGTTCATCTGTTTTCCAACTAGTCTTCTAGATGTCATATTCATTAATGGCGAATCCTTTGCCTTCGCAAGCTCCCTGGAAATTTGGATGTTAAATAAAATCAGTGAAAATCATGAGACAAAATGAATTAACTAGAATAGTAACATGACGGGTCAAAATTATTTTAAGAGACAAAGGTAAATTGACTGGACAAATTACCGTAGCAATCTTTGGTTCTCAATTTTCTCCTCGTTTAACTTTCTTTTTAGATCATCGATCTTCTCCTTTTCCACGCCCAACAAGAACTTTTCTTTCAGTATAACTGAAGGACTTGGTCTGTCTGACGGAACAGGACTGATCATCTTGAGAAGTAGGTTGTGTAGTTCCTCAGAGGTGCCGTCGACAGGGTCTAGGTAACCATCTCTAATTCTGTGCCATCTTGCGCCATTTTTCGGTAACTTCATCAAACTCGCCTGGAAGAAAGCCAGCGGTTTCACATAAAATATTAAGAGCAGGAAATATTTTCTGGCTGTGCTCCAAGTCGAGTGACGTGGCATGCTAAAGTCACAGGATGATCCAACAATGGTGGGGCCCGTGATTTAAGATCCACAGACACGTACCATGTGACCAAAACATTCAAATCAGGAGATTATTTTTTTGCGCGCGGCGCGAAAAACTGACAGTGGTGGTGTTTGTTTAAAGATTATCTGTCCGCGTTGGGGGAAAATGTAGCAGTAGCGGCAATTTCAAAACAGTTTATTCGGGTGCAGATCTCCAGCATAAGGATCATTTCACCTAAACTTTCAGATACTTGTGGCAGTGGGAATAATCAAGAACACTACATATATACTTACCACTTCGTACACGGTGAGCGATAGTGAGAAAACATCAGCTTTAGCCAGGTCGCTGTGATCCTGAAATAGAACAAGCGTGCATTTTGGCGCGAGATAATCAATACAGTATTATGTAACAACAAACTGGCAGTCGAACAGAATAATTATGGGTTTAATTAGATGGCGTTCATGATAATAATAGGGTGACTGAATATCATACATCGTCAATGAGTTCTTTAGGAAGGTATCTAACATCACCCTCTTCAACTTGTGGATCAGATATTTTGGTGACCATTCCCAGGTCGCCTATCTTGTAGGAGGTTCCTTTTCTGTTCTCATCATCTGTCACCTGTGTGTCACGTGTTATGTAGGGTTTATACTCGGTCTACATGAAATTAAAGACCAGAACAGTGACACATAAATTTGTGATCATGTTTGTTTGTTTTAAACTGGCCCTTGTGCAATGTTAACATAGTTAAAATATATAGTATACGGTGAAACTAGAATTTCCAATTCTTCTTTTAACAGAATGTCAACAGTACAGCAATAACATAAACTGGTTCAGTCCAGTTGGTAGAATAGGAGGCACAAATGTTCTTCAGGGAGCGAAATATTCACATACTTCTCTGTGAGATATGAAGATGTTGCCAGGTTTTATATCCAAATGAGCCAGATCTGTAGAATGCATAAAGCACAATCCCTGAGAAGATGCGATAGGTTAAGTGTCAGTTTGTTTGCATCTACTTTGGTATTTGTTGACATGACATACCACTATTTTGGTATTTGTTGACAAGACATTTAACACTCGACATAGCATACCAACCGAGTTTGTCAAAAGTAGTAATTAGAAACCTTACTTTGACCCAGAACCATACAAAATTAAACACAATCTCCATTACTCCATTATAAAGAAGCGTTGAATTCCTGAGAATACGTCGCTTTAAGCACAATTTGAAAGACAAACCTTAGCAACCTGTACCATGATCTGTTTCAAGTCTCTCTCTGGAACCATCTTCCCATTGCTGCTATACTGGGTGATCATATCACTCAAACTGCCCCCGTTACAGTACTCGTTCTGTATAATCATGTGTTTATCCTCAGCCCAGGCACTGTAGTATTGTAGGATGTGGTGGTGTTTACCTAGCACAGCGTGTGCGTAGACCTCACGTAGTGCTGCAGTTCTGGGAGGGGAGTAGAGGTTAGTGCTGAAGTTCTGAGAGGGGAGTAGAGGTTAGTGCTGCAGTTCTGGGAGGGGAGTAGAGGTTAGTGCTGCAGTTCTGGGAGGGGAGTAAGGGTTAGTGCTGCAGTTCTGGGAGGGGAGTAGAGGTTAGTGCTGCAGTTCTAGGAGGGGAGTAGAGGTTAGTGCTGCAGTTCTGGGAGGGGAGTAGAGGTTAGTGCTGCAGTTCTGGGAGGGGAGTAGAGGTTAGTGCTGTAGTTCTGGGAGGGGGTAGAGGTTAGTGCTGCAATTCTGGGAGGGGAGTAGAGGTTAGTGCTGTAGTTCTGGGAGGGGAGTAGAGGTTAGTGCTGCAGTTCTGGGAGGGGAGTAGAGGTTAGTGCTGCAGTTCTAGGAGGGGAGTAGAGGTTAGTGCTGCAGTTCTGGGAGGAAGTAGAGGTTAGTGCTGCAGTTCTGGGAGGGGAGTAGAGGTTAGTGCTACAGTTCTGGGAGGGAGTAGAGGTTAGTGCTGCAGTTCTGGAAGAGGGGAAGTTACACAAAAGTTAGGGTGCAGTGTGCATATTATCTGGACTTGAAGTAAGGGGAAGACTTGTGGGGACATCATTGATTAGATTCAATCGAGGTAAAACAATGTAAGCCAGCCCTTTATTCAATTTGGAACCAATTAGAAAGTGATTAATCTAATTTGCACGGTGCCAATTCAATACATCAGTTATTGATGGAGCCTAGATAGTAGATAATATGCAAGATAACCGACAACTACACCCAATTAGATGCAGCTATCACTTAGTTTACAGGGTGTCCAATCAGCTTGACAGGGTACTGATTTTTGGCATAAATTTAATTAGATCTGACATTTGCAGTTTTGATCATTTTAATTCTAGCAGGCTCCACAGTTCTCATCAGATGATGAATGCTTTACTAAAATTATTACTGAGTAGATAAACTGTTATGTGAGCAGATCAACTGTCCCAACTTGCCTGGGAATTATCTAATCACCCAATTAATTGATTAATTAAATATGCAATTGTTGCGCCTAATTACATCTTACTGCTCTCTATAAGTATAGAAAGTACAACCTGACCAGTCATTTGAAAGTTAATTTTGTAGATTGATTGGAAACCCAATCAGTCATGATTGCATGTTTGTTTAGACAGATCATAGTTAGATAATAGATAATAGTAACTTAATCAGTAAACATACGCATACGTATTACGTACAGATTAGGCAATTAACAAGATAATATATAACAAGTAATGAAGTAGGGTCTGGGGAGGCCTGGAAATGGCTGGTAGTTGGGTAAATTCTGAGTATACTTCAAGCGGACGGATAATTTAGCACTTTTAGAGAAGTGAAAATGAGAACTCACTCCTTGATAGAACCAGCGATTGGTTTCTTGAGACGTTTGAGAGCATAGTAACACCTGTCAATCCTGTTCTGACACTTGTAAACCTCTCCAAACTCTCCCTTTCCCAGTAGACCCATTTCTGTAAACTCGTTGCGATATCGTGACTGATTCAGGTCCAGGGTCATCTTCGTTTGTCGCATCTGTGGGGAATTCTGGACGTCAGGAAATATAAATCTGCATTGCATTGGAGGCTGGAGCATAAAAATGGCAACTTACGAAATCAGATTTTGCAAATATTTTGTCGGGTGATAACAGATAAAATACTTTATTTCGCATCAGCGAAATAGGTTTAAATTGTCGCCTTTTCTCCTCCACGTAACCGGATAAGTTGGCTCGGTCATTAGTCAACCAAATTGTAATCTGATTTTAATAGCTTATAACCTTCAAAATCTAGATCTTAAGAAAAAAGAAAATCGTTGATTCCATTTATAATCAAATTAAGAAACGGAACGAGAACTAACCGGTTTGACCCTTGAAGGCTGTCTCAGTTTCGTGAACAGTGAAACTTTGATATCATTCAAATCCCTAAAATAGGGAAGATTATTTGTAACGAATTGTTGTGACATAGCAGGCATGGATGACACTGTCGAGGGACTGCAAGAAACAACGGACAATATTGCGAAATACTGTGGGCTTGGGGGTTTAAAGATGAACGCAAAGAAAACAGAGATCATGGTAATTGGGAAAGATACGTCGCAGCACCCACTCCCAGAGAATAGGACCATAGATATTACTGTCGATGGAAACTCTGCAAAGCAGGTCACTCAATTCACTTATTTGGGTGCCAAAATTACATCGGATGGCAAGATCGATAAAGAAATAAGTGTCAGGATTGGAAAAGCAACCGGAGCTTTTAACCAACTCAATAACATTTGGAAGAATAAGAACATAAGCATTAACAACAAAGTGCGAATCTACATCGCAGCTGTTCTTACCATTCTGACCTATGGAAGTGAGATATGGAACACGACTCAAGTGCAGACAAGAAGATTAGAGTCTTTCCATCAGTACTGCTTACGCAGAATCCTGAGAGTGAGGTGGTTCCATCGAGTAAGAAATGAAGATGTTTTAAGAAGGGCTTCAATAACTGCTCTTACTGACATAATAGCAACAAAACGGCTACGTTGGTTTGGACATGTCAGTAGAATGCCTGAAGATCGGTTACCTAACTATTTACTTGAATGGAAACCCAAGCATGGGAAACGATCAAGAGGCAGGCCTAGGAAGAGCTTAAATGATGTATTTATTGAAGATGCTGAGCAGAGATTGGATCGTAATGGACTCACGATTGATTGTATGAGAAGATTGGCTGCAGATCGAAAAGGATGGAGAAATATTACCCGCCGAAGTTGTATAATACAAAGTAATGACGCAGATGACGCAGACTAATCCTTTTGGATGGAGATCTCGCCATGTAACATGTATGTATGTATGTAAAAATATTGAAATATGTTTTTTATAGATATTGCATCTAGATTGAACGAGCAATCTTTGATTTAATACCAGGCAATCATTATAATTAGGGTGATCCAAAATGAATTGGGTAAATTTAAGACTCACTCGTCATGTTGGAGTTTCCTTCTCTTTTTTTCTGAAGACTGAAGGATGCTGCGGGTTTCTTCGTGAACCGGAGTACTTGACTGAAGACATATAAATTACAGACAAGCCCCAATAAGATATGTTGTCATCTTGAACAAACTGGAAAGTGGAAGTAGCATTTGATTTTAAAACACTTATAAAAAGGGCTGACTACAGAGTCAAAGTTCTGGTTGAATTGTAGAACCAAAATAAAGACGGGCACACATTCTCAACCTGGAAAGGGTTGGTGACAGGTTCATGTATGGGAGAGGGCGTGTTTCGAGAGCACTTTAGGGCACCTAGTCTGGTAGAACGGCGTCTCGTCTGATAGTGTGCTTTTATACCAGAACAGGTTGTTCCCAATAGATTTGGGGACCTGAAAACAACAGTCTCAAAAGCTCCGAAATATTGCTATTATAGTAATTTTGACACAGTGGGAAATCAAATCTAGCATTGTAAGGGTTGTTTCAATGATAACTTTTGAAAAGTGATACAAAATAAATGATGACACTGATGGAGTTACATTCAATCAAACAAGTTCTTTACCTATTCTCATTGGAAGAGTTGGAACTCTGTGAGGCTTTTCTGAGCAGTGTTGATGGAGTGCAGGGGGTTTCAAATAGTTTGAGGGAGCCAGTTCTGGTGAGGTTTTTGGAGCTTGGCGGAGTACATGGGCTGATAAGGCTAGGTGAGTCGATACTCATGTTCAAAACGCTGTCGTTACCGTCATATTTCCCTGAGAATATATATGATATGGTCAAAGAAAAGACAAAAACAACTTAATAAAGGATTAAACTGCAAGATCTAAGAGAATTACAAATAAAATAGCACTAAGCTCGTAGTCTAAAGAATAATTTGGATTTGGAAAGGACAGTTACCAAATAACTATCAACAGACACTAGACAGGCATGGCCAATGGCCATGGCACAGATAAATATTCCAACCTGGTGTAGCGAATTCAGATGTCCAGTTCAGTTCATCAATAAAGTCGTCCGAGTTAGAAGAATTCAGTGAAGAGTTCATTTCAATGTCCTTACAACTGGATTTCAAAGTCATGGCTTAACTTCATTCTGTAATTTAGTTATTAATTTTTATTTTAAAATGATACATTCGAACAAATTAAGTGATTGGCAAAACAAAATAAACACTAAACAGGTAACAAAGATGGTTTGTTGCAACCAATATTATAAGCAATCTCAAATTTAATATGTTCATAATTCATATATCTTTCAAAACAAATATAAAGTGCTGCCCAGAAAGTCCAAGCTATGTAGGTGTAATATCAAGAGTAATGTCAACAGTCATATGATTCGCAAGATGGAATGAGATTGAGGAGTAAAATAGGATACAAAATGAACACGGAATTCTGAGAACAAGAATATTCATAATTTGGAACAAATCAATGTCAAAATTGTTAGAAATTCACCTCACATTATATAACAGTATTATATACATACAATATAAAAATTTCACAGCTAAAATAGTATATTTACATCGACTACTTCACAGAACCATATTCAGCTAGATTTAGGGAAGTTAAAAGAAATTATAAATTAAAACATGAATGTTTGTTTTCAAATTTAAGCCTCTTCTCCCTCTTCCTCTTCTTCGTCGAATCCTCCTCCCATCTCAACGTTGGCTCCTTGGTATTCAGACATGAGATCGTTCATGTTACTCTCAGCTTCAGTGAACTCCATCTCGTCCATACCTTCACCAGTGTACCAATGGAGGAAAGCCTTTTGCCTGAACATAGCAGAGAACTGCTCCATGATCCTCCTGAAGAGCTCCATGATGGCGGTGCTGTTTCCGATGAAAGTACCAGACATCTTGAGTCCTCTGGGAGGAATGTCACAGACGGCAGTCTTGACGTTGTTGGGGATCCATTCGACGAAGTAGCTGCTGTTCTTGTTCTGTACGTTCAACATCTGCTCATCAACTTCCTTCATGGACATATGTCCTCTGAACATAGCGGCAACTGTAAGGTATCGGCCTTGTCGGGGATCGCAAGCAACCATCATGTTCTTAGCATCGAACATCTGTTGGGTGAGTTCTGGAACTGTGAGTGCTCTGTACTGGTGGGAACCTCTGCTGGTGAGTGGGGCAAATCCTGGCATGAAGAAGTGAAGTCTGGGGAAGGGAACCATGTTGACAGCAAGTTTCCTGAGATCAGCGTTGAGCTGTCCAGGGAATCTAAGGCAGGTGGTGACACCAGACATGGTGGTGGAGACAAGATGGTTGAGATCACTGTGTGTGGGGGTGGGGAGATTGAGGGTTCTGAAGCATATATTGTACAGGGCTTCGTTGTCAATGGTGAAGGTTTCGTCTGTATTCTCTACGAGCTGTTGGACTGAAAGGATGGCATTGTAGGGCTCAACGACAGTGTCTGATACTTTTGGGGAGGGGACTACTGAGAAGGTGGTCATGATCCTGTCTGGGTATTCTTCACGGATTTTGGAGATGAGGAGTGTTCCCATGCCAGATCCAGTTCCACCACCAAGAGAGTGAGTCAGCTGGAATCCCTGAAGACAGTCACAGCTTTCAGCTTCCTTTCGTACAACATCCATAACAGAGTCTACAAGTTCGGCTCCCTCGGTGTAATGTCCCTTGGCCCAGTTGTTTCCGGCACTAGATTGTCCGAACACGAAGTTGTCAGGTCTGAAGATCTGACCAAAAGGTCCTGATCGTATGGAGTCCATGGTTCCTGGTTCCAAGTCAACGAGTACAGCTCTGGGCACGTATTTGCCACCAGTAGCCTCGTTATAGTACACATTGATCCTCTCCAATTGAAGGTCGAAACTTCCGTGGTAGGTTCCAGTTTGGTCAATGCCATGCTCGTCAGAGATGACTTCCCAGAACTTGGCTCCAATCTGGTTGCCACATTGACCAACTTGTAAATGAACAATTTCTCCCATGTTGATTGGAATAAGATAAACTGAGTATGCAGACGATGGAACACCCTATAAAAGTTTTTTCCGGGGTGAGTTATTCCTTACTGGATTTAACTCTCTCTGAACGTAGATAATTTTGTAACTGTCTTAAGCTTTAAAATTAGATTAGAAGGATCAAAGAAAGATATGATTTCAAAAATTATATTAAGTGCTTATATTTTTGGAATGTTTGATCATCCTTGTGTGGCAAAGAAGTGGTTTATAAATCTCTATTCCACAGGGAAGCTAACGAATAGGTTTTAAAATTTTTTAAATGTGATAGTGTTTTTGATAATATTTAAATTTATCGAAATTGTATTCGATAAATTATTAATCTCTGTTGGCAAATACATGTTATATTTTATCCACATATATGATAGTACAAGGATACTTTGTAGACATGTTTGATATCATAAATTTTACTCTACTTTACTTAACTTTAAACGATTAAATTAATTAAACAGGATGAATCCCACATCAGCTTCTTTGACAGCTTCCTCCCTAACCCTTTTAATATGACAGCTATAATGACACTCCATACAAAGAAGAAAGAGGCGAGGTCTGATTCTTACCAAGCCTGTCGCGTGAGCTATATGCTTCACTTCATCTGGATAATATTTCAGCTGCTAAATGTATTGTAAATAACTTTAATTTTTGGAATGTTTCGAATTAAGAAGTTTTATCAAGAATTGAAGGTACCAGTTATGTCAGAAATAAGGAAAAACACAATGATTATCTTTGGTTTCATCCTTATGTAGCAAAAGAAACATTTTATAAATCTTTACTCCACTGGGAAGTATGAATAAATTAAATTTATTTGTGTTGTTGATATTCATGATTAATATTTGATAAATTATTACTTTTAAATTTGATGAGAAATAGTTACTGTATATTTTTACATGTAGTGTGATGTTACCTGGGGACCCCAGGCTATTATGTTCATTAACATAACCGAATAGAGATTAGGCGGAATGACAGGCTGAGCGCGGCCCAGTAAAGTGTGATGATACTTTGTAGACATTAGTGATGATGTTACGTCATAATTTTTACTTTACTTCACTTTACTTTACCCACTTTGAAGCGAATATTAAGAAGTAGTAATTTTCAATGCTTGCGTCGTTTCAAAGATCAAAATTTTTATTGACACACGCTGTAACCCCTTTTGAGCGCGCACGAGAGGTATACAACGTGTAGCAAAATTTTTAAGTATGTAGTACTAAAAATAAACAATTATTGTAAACAAAAGGCAATTCCTTATTTAATTCATGTTACAACTTAATGCAAAAGGTAGTGTATTAAACGATTTGTGCGCAATGAATTAGATATAGATGCAGTGTATATTAATTGCACGTTTTGTTGTTTGTGCGGATAAAATGCCATGCGCACCTTTTTTTGCTTTTATCAATTCTTGACTTAATAATAGCTGTAGGCAATCGAAATTATAAAACGATCAGTTTGTTAAATATATTTAATATTTGTTCTTAATTAGTTTTTATTTGCTCTAACCAGAGCCCTCTCGCTTGCAGTAGTGCGCGACCGCCGAAGGCGGCAAAAGTAAAATACAATTTTAAGTAAAATACAATTTTTATTTTCCACAGAAGAATCAATACATATTGAATTATAAATATCCGATAATTCCATTAATAACCATTAAAAGTTGCTTTGTCATTTGTAAAATCAAAAACGAAAAGCCCCACGCTGAACGCGCGCGGCATTTTTTCTGCAGCTGCCTAGCTTCAAGCTTGTAGCCGCTAACATCAAAGCCGCCGCGCGCGCCCAGTGCTGGGGTGCATTCTCATTAACAATTAAACTTGGTCAAAGATATTTATATACAATTCCTAAATTAAATCAATAATCATGTTAATATGAGTATTCAACACTACTCGACAACAAATATTTGCCGGCCCATCAACGATTCAGTCGCCGAAACAAAAATCAAATGTTTGCTTTTTCGTTTCGGGGACTGTTTGAACTCAGTATTATATCCGACTAATCACACTTTATAATGGTTAAAATACAAAGTAAAAAGATTTTCCTCGATGGGCCAGCATTCGCAACCGCGAAACGTTTTGAGTACGACAAACGATGACACCACCACCAGCCGTTAATTGATAAGTCCATGGGTGACGGGATAAAGTTAAAGTAAGATGTGTAATTTCATATTGCCTATCACCTATCACCTAAGTTACTTTGCATATACTGCTTCTAGTTACACGATAGCGATCTCAGTTCCCAATAACGTGTGACCCAACAGAGGGGATTGTGGAAGGACACGTACATTTTTCATTAACACGTACCCTGATTACCCCCTCCGTTGAGCTACTAAACGGGGAACATTGACCGCCAGTCTGTAGTCAGATCGTTAATAAATTATACTTTAAAATTGGTTGCCGGGTGATGGTGTCAGTGAGAGACGTTAAGTTAGGTGAACATTGGTACAAAAATATAATAATCTAGCAGTTTATCTCAAAGTTAAAATCACTATTTGTTAAAGTATACAAACAGTTCTATTCAAAAGAACAAAGTCCGAGAGCAGAGAGAAGATTTGGAGACTATACACGCATATGTGGGGTTTAAATTTGGTATTAGTAATTTTAGGGTTCGACCGAAAATGTTGGTCGGTTGGTTAATCTAGCAGTTTATCTCAAAGTTAAAATCACTAAAAAAGATATACAATATATACGGTCGCTCAACACAAAGCTGAAATGTGAAAGTGGGAAAATTTGTAGAATACGGCACATTATTCCAGAAAAACTCTACAAAGAACTGTACTACACACTATTTGAATCACACTTGCGATTTGGGATATCAGTATGGGGTGGCCTTAGTAACAACAGGCTTGAACCAATATTTATCACTCAGAAGAAATGTGTTAGAATACTATTTGGTAACCGAGAGGCGTACTTAGAAAAGTTTAGAACTTGTGCTAGAACACGAAGTAAAGACAAGCAAAAATTAGGAAGCGACTTCTATGAAAAACAGCACACAAAACCGCTATTTAAGAAAAATGGTTTACTAACCATACACAGTTTGTTCAAACACACATGTTTATTGGAAATGTTCAAAATCAATAAATTAGAATCCCCAGTCCCACTCCTAAATCTATTTAACAGATCATCAAGACGTGCTGATCGATTCATCACTCCAACCCCATCCACCTCCTTCATATATCAATCGACAAAAATGTGGAACGATTGTAGAAACACTGCTAGCAATATCAACTTCTCTACATCAACGAACCTTGTGAAATCCACAATAAAAAAGGAGTTACTCGGCATGCAGTCCAGGTACGACGAAATAGATTGGTGTGAACTGAACTTCGATTCCAACGAACTGAAATTCTAATGTCTACTCAATGAAGATATGCTGAGCGCTAAAGCCGATTGAAATGTTAATGTCTAAAGTATAAAATTTCGGCGGTCACGCCGCGCATTTTGCGCGCTGTGCCGCTATTTTTGGCCCATCTTATCAGATATTATTTACAATGTACTCGCACAGTACATGCAGGGCATGCCTCAAGATCATATTAGTGTAGGAATCATTATGTTTTCAACAATTCATTATATGTCGAATTCAGCAGTGGGTCCTCTCTTCGTCCGGTTTGTGTGTTTGTCGCCTGTCTGGACTCTCGTAGTCATGTAATTTTTAATTTTTAATTTCTAATTTGTTATTTTTATTTTAATTTTAATTTTTCAATTTTCTAAATGTGTGTTCTGCTCCGGGACTCGATTACCGTATCGGCTTTCTTGAGACTGTAAATTTGGAAAGCCAACTATGCGGGGCGCCTGCCCACCGGCACTGAAGAGTGATCAAAGAATTAACTAAAATTTCCTAATATAACGATTGAATATAGAGTTGTTTAACCGGCGCGGCCATGGGTGTGTGGCCTAGCTTTGGCTGCACACCTATGACTGCGCTGTTGCTGGTGGACAGGCGCAGTTTTTGTTGTGCAGTAGTGTTGCAAGAGAATAAAACCAACTTATTATGTACTAAATGGAATCAAGAATATTATTGACTATATTTGATAACGATGAATTGTAAATTTCGATCAATTTATATTTTTCGGTCTCCAATTATTGAACTGCGGAAGCTGGTTGCCTCAACAATGTTGACTATGCATGGTATGACTGAATTGTAAAAACGTGATAATTGAACGAAAAATAAATGATGAACATGATTCAAAAACTGTAAACCACCAAATGAATTATCGCTTAAATTTAAATAAGTATTTAAACAAAAACCACCATGTGCCGTTAAGCAGCAGGGCGCGGCTCATCTGGGCCACAGCAAATCGGCGAAAATGGGTTCGAAAAAGCCACTATTGGCACTCGAGTCCTTGATCTTTCCGATGGTTCACTGGGGCTTTTGAGCTGCCGTCCTTCAGCTTCTGTAAACTGAAATTACTACCAATCCAAGTTGAAGCAATCAGCCGACGCGCGGCTTTTATGGTTATATATGATATGTTTAATCTGTAATAAAGATCAAAATTCAAATTTGTTTCTCTAAAAAATTTGTTTCTCTATATAAAAGATATACAATATATTCTACTTTTGAAACAAGCGCGCGTCACGCAGTACGCGTATACACATGGCTTTACCTGGGGACCTCAGGCTATCATGTTCATAAACATATAGAGATTCGGCGGAATGACAGGCTGAGCGCGGCCCAGTAAACATGGCTATGTGAAAGTTTTTAGTCTACCCAAGAATTTTTTCGGCTCATGCTCCAGTTGGCAAACATAAACATTTCTTTAGCATTTGGTAAAGCATTTTAAGGGCTATAATGTGTACTGGTTCTAAGACGTTTATTATTTGTCCTACGTTGTACGACCCGCCGCGCACGAGTGCACAGCTCCCCCTGTATCGTAGAAACTATAGTGAAAGGACAATGGGGGTAACGATTTGTTGTCGTTTAGCCATTTTTGACTTATAAATTTTATGAGACAGTTTTATCACATATTTACCAATGTTATCAGCATGAATACGAAGTTGTTACTTTGAAATGTCGTTCATCCTAACAGTGCAGTATCATTTGTCGCAAAAAATCAGAATACTCAGAAATTATTTGGAACTCCCAAAAACTGTTTATGTGTATACCTACTGTTTGAAACATTTTTACTCTTTTATTTATGTTTTTAAGGGTTTTTGTTACTCCGATTTTTACTTCTATATAGGGTCATTTTGATATAACATTTCAAAATTGTTCCTGCATATTTGTAGAAACAAATAGTTTTCAACTAAAATTATTTCAGGATTTCTACTATTGTGAACTTCATAAATTAATTATCACTTTTGAAAAAAAAAAATTTTAAAAGTTATATGATTGTCATGCAGCTACTCGCAATACACTAAAATTATCAAATATGCTCGCTATACACTTTTAGATACCGAATGTATATGTATATATATAATAAGCTTATAATACTAAATACCAATATACCAAATACGTCTTATGTTATGAACGTCGGGGAAATAATCGGGAAAAGTTTTGTTCCAAGATCATCTTGAAGAGTCTGGCCAGTTCTTTTTATTTTTCCCAGATATCTCAAACGGTTGTTACTCCAACTCCAATTTTTTTTGGCAACAAGTAGTGCTTGTTACTTCCTCTCAAATCACGTTACTGTGATTTGATACTTGACAGAATTTTCACTTGACAGGGTACCAATTAAATGGTACGTGTTTGAGGAGAATTGATTTGTGCTACGGGAGCACTAGCTCTACTGTGAACTAGAGGGCTTGCTCGATGAAGAGCAAGAAAGCTTTAGACCTCAAAGAAATACTGCAAGGTATCTTTATAAATTAGTTGCTACTCTAGATGAGTGTAAGAGGAAAAAACTCACTAGAACTATCATATTGTTCTATCTAGCTCTTAAAGAGCTATGATTGTCCCACAGAAGAATTATCTGAGCAATTACCAAGCTGGTACTAGGGTTGCCATTATCGGTACAACATTTTTTATCGCGATAATCGATAATTTTTTCAAAATTATCGCTATAATATCGGTTATCGGCGATAAATTTGGCAATATATTTGAAGTAATATTTGTATGCACTCTGCATACTTGCATTATGCTCCTATGCTATGTTACATCTTGTGCTGATTGCTTTGTTAAAGAATCAATTGCAATATTGCCCTTTTATTTAACAAGCCCATATTTTATAGACAAAATATGTTCTTAAAGATAATTATTGCTTCTAGCAAAAATTTTTTAAAAGTCTGCTGCCTGTTATCTGCCTGTTAGCTGTGAACAGACCTATCTCTCGTGCAAGGGTATCTGTCCTTGCTACCGTAATCGAATCGCTGCCCTAATGTAGGTCTGATAATTCTTTTGTCAGCGGGATAGTACTGGAATCTGGCATCTGAAATTGTGGGAATCGTCTGTGAGTCCTGAGGACCAATCGTCGAACTACTTGCGAAGCTCAATCGCTGTTAGTCTCTTTCTGCTTAAACAACCGCTGGAGCAGAGACTTAGAGTTACGTATCAAGGTTGACTTTGTGATCATTCTGTATTCTTGTCCTACATCTTCATCTAGAAAACCGGGGTCCGAGTAGAACATTACCAGCGATACGAAGTGAAGGTTCTTTCTCTTGGCATATTGTGTACGTAGCCTATCGGACAGGCTTCGAGAAAATGGCAAGTCTATCTCAGATCTCTTCTAGCTTGGTGTCAATAAAATAAATAATCACTTTTGCTTGAGCAAGCATGCTTCCTCTTTTACACAGAAACTCAGTTACAGTCCTGAACGGTGCGAGAGCTAACTCAGTCCCTTCTACATCCAGTTTTAGATTGCCTAGCTCCAAGTCATTAGTCATCTAAAATTCCGTGCACTGCATCAGTTATCCGGTCATATCTCTCCAACATACTGCACAGCGAGCTCCAACGAGTTTTGTAGTCTCGTTGCAGTGTGAGTTCCTTTCCGTGCTTCAACAAACTACAATAACTACGTCTGACCATACAACCTCCAAGTTACCTACTAGATGCAGAAAAAAACCATCACACTGCAAATTATGCTAGCACTGGGTTTTAACTTTACAAACAGAGAAATAGATTCGAAAAATATGTTAGATGTTGGCCATTTTACCCTAATAAAAATGTGTTGATTATCGCGATAATTCTCGAAAATTATCGCGATAATCGATAACGATTTTTGGGAAATTATCGCCGATAATTATCGGCCGATAATATCGGTTGGCAACCCTAGCTGGTACTATTAATCTTCTTTGTCTTTGTACATAAAATTATCTAACTTTAAATGAGGCACTTATTAGAAGTTGGGAATTCTTACAATATTCTGTATCCTCGCAGCTGTAGTTTTGTCTGATATCTTCTGTGCCATTTTTAATTCTTATATTTCATAATGTTTTTTACCAATCACTGGTCATAATTTGTGGTATGTCTCTCCTTACCTAATGTATGGTTTTGTTTTATACATTCCATAATACTGTTCTGATAAATTTGTTCAAGAAAGGGTTACACTGCACTATGGCTACTGTGGTAGGAAAAGTTGAGACCCAACATGAGAACATGATTGTAAGTATTTTTTCATTTGCCTTTATTCGAGTCTAAATTGTAAGTACATAAACCATACAGTACATACACAATACATAAACAATACACAGTTTTAAAATAAAACAATATAACTTAAAATTTTGGCACAATACCTTAAGGCGTGGACATTTTGCACGGTTCCTGAATTATCATCGCTTACTTGCAGCTATTTAAACTCTTTCAAATTTCAGCATGATGCCCAGATGGACATCTATGGACACCGGTTAGCCACCTGTTCCTCTGATAGATCCGTAAGAATATTTGAAGTGGACAAAAATCAGCACCGACTTATTGCTACACTGATCGGGTAATCATTGAAAATATGTATAAGATAACATGCTATTATACATGTTCATACATTATACATTATACATTAATTATACATGTTCACCTTGAGTTAATTTTCAGTGTTGACAGAATATGATAATCAGCATTTCTTGAAATGTTTCGGTTCAATTTCACTTATCAATGAGTGTTAAATTTCAGTCATGATGGACCAGTATGGCAGATTTCCTGGATGCACCCTATGTATGGAAATGCTCTCGCTTCCTGCTCTTATGATAAAAAGGTAAACACTTTAGAATTCTATGTGTTTGTGTTATTAACAATTACCAATGTATATTGTACATTGTACATAGTACTCTTCAGAATGCTCACTATGAACCACAACTTTCTAGGTGATCCTATGGAAGGAATCAGATCGAGGACAGTGGGCTAAGTTCTACACACACGAGGTCCATGCCAGCTCAGTAAACTCGATCCAGTGGGCCCCACCAGATACAGGATTATATCTAGCGTGTGGATCTAGTGATGGAACTATCAGTATTCTACAGGGATCTGGAGACGACAAGTTCTCTTTCCTCATGATTCAGAACGCACATACGGTTAGTGTTATATTGTAGCTGAACACATCAGTTTAAATAGGACACAGTTTATATTATATACAGTTTATATAGATATCCAGATAATGTCATGGTATTTTAAAATTTTTCTATATTTTTATAATTTATAAAGTTGTACTGATTATTTTGACATTGCCAAATTGTTATATATATTATATAAATTTTTTTGCGAAACTTGATTTAGAGATAGCAGTTGAACAACAAATTAGGACCAGTGACCGAACTTTTGAGGGGGTCCCAGTGGGCGGTTGGGGTCTGGGACCCTCTCTGGGACCCTCTTATCTCAAAAGTTCGGTCACTGGTCCTAGTTTGTTGGCCAACTGCTATCCCAAAATCGAGTTTCACAAAAAATACCCCATGTCCCCCCCCCCCCTCTTAATCGTGGAGATCAGATAACAAATTGAGTTTACAGACAGGCGTAAACGCAGTGAGCTGGGCGCCTTCCCACCCTTCTGGTACTACTCTCGATGTAAGTAATATAATATACTGACTGTTGTGTTATCCGTTGTGTATTTTGTTTTTGTTTTAAAGACCCGAGGGCCACCCTTAAGGGCTTTGAAACCGGTTTATTGACAATATAATATATAATAAATAAACTGAAATCGTAACATTCATGTCAATACTAACTGAAATAATATAAGCTGTAGTTAAAATAATAATACTTACTGTCACTTAATTAAGATATATGATGTAATAAAATGAATCTCTTTATTTCCACACTAATTCTCACACCAAGCTTTAATTCACACACCAAAACTTTAAATTTTATCAGAATACAAATGTCCTAATATATACGTCTCTTATCTTTTAGTAAAAAGTCAGGGGTGCAGCCGTTTAACTTCAATTAAGATTAAAACAATTCATCACGCTGGATCACGACGTTATTCTATCAAAATCAGCTAGGCGTTATTTGAATTGATTGCTGGGCTCTGTGTGGTACTGTGTAGTGGTAAGTGGGTGTGTGTGCGCGTGGTTGTTATTATGATGCGTTGAGATCAGCTACGTTGATGATATGTGATTGTGCGTGTTGTGCTGATAAGGCTTGAATTGAGCAATGGCCAGGAGTATTATCAGTAAACTAGTAGCAGGTCTGGCAGTGAAAATTTTCTGATTTCAAAAGTGGTCGGTAATTATTAGTTTTGAAGTGCTTTTGTAACTAAGAAGTTTATTGAGTGAATGCCTCATGTTGTTTAGATAGTTTACTAATACTAAGTTATGTTGTGGGGTGTGTGATTTTGTGACCGTTGAGATTTCCTTAAACCTGGAATATTATTCAGTAAAAAGGTTTGCCAGCTTTCCTCGTTGTTGCCTCTTGATTGGTGTTCCAATAGCACACGTTTTGCATTAGACTTGTAAATGTTGATTGAAAATAAGCTGGGAAGACAAGTTATATTTAAGTTTGTTTCAGTGATGGCAAGCAGTGGACCTTTAAAAAATACTGATTGTCTAAAAGTGTTACTACCGTATGTAAGAAGCCAGTCAGAGCTAGTCTCATGGCTGGAGTTAACTGTCGGGATATTACTTGGAAAAAGGCCTTTGATTGATTTTGGCACTGTTTCAGGGAAGTATTTCATCCTGTGCATTAATATAAGTGCGTTCTTCACGATAATTCCATGAATAGTGAGAATTCCATACTCTTTAAAGCTATCCCTCGTGTGTGCAGGCAATTGGCCGTCCTTGTAGAAATAGTTGACGTAACCTGGCATAACCATTCTCACACCTTGTTTCTGTTTTGTGAATAGTGACTCAATGTGTGATTTGGCTGCGAAACCCCAGACGAGGGAGCAGAAATTGAGGTGGGATTGAACAAAGCTGTGATAAATTTGAAGCCTGACTTTTAACGGTAAGTGCCGTTCAATTTTGTACATGATACCCATGTATCTATTCATCCTGGCCCTAACGGCATGTATGTGTTTGCTCCACGTTAATTTATCATCGATTATTACTCCGAGGAAACGTGCCTCAGTCACTTGATCTATCACTACTCCAGCTATGGAAACATTAATGTTAGAAAGGGTTGTCGTTCTATGATTGCTAAATACCATAAAGTGAGTTTTTTTGAGATTGAGAGCAAGTCCGTTGCTATCAACCCATTTGATCAGGAGCGAGGTTATTTGATTTAGTTTGAACTGAACCTCTTGCTCGGTGTAACCAGTAACTATAATATTCGCATCGTCTGCGTACAGTATAAACTTAGCTAAATTTGTGATGTTTGGAAGGTCGTTGATATAGATCACAAAGAGTAATGGTCCCAAAATCGACCCCTGGGGTACTCCAAACTGGATTTCTCTGGGCCTCGAGTCTTCTCCACCGACAGTCACGAATTGGTGGCGGCCGCTCAGATAGGACTCGAACCATTTAAGTGCTGAACCTTTAATGCCGTAATGTTCCAGTTTTTTTAGTAGTATAGGATGTTCAATGACGTCAAAAGCTTTAGAGTAGTCAAGAAGAAGAAGCACAGCAATTTGCTTACTGTTGAGAGAGTGTAGAATACTATTTTGAGCATTAAGTAAAGCGTGTTCACATGACATGCCAGGCCTAAAACCGTACTGACTTTCAAAAAGTGATCCATTGAAGTCTAAAAATTCAAGAACTCGACTATGCATAAGTTTTTCGTATATTTTCGAGAAAGAGCTTAGCAAAGAGATTGGTCTGTAATTAGTAACTTCTGTTTTAGAGCCACCTTTGTGTATCGGAACAACTCGTGCCGATTTTAGAGCATTTGGAAATATTCCCTCAGTAAAGGAAGAATTTATGATTACGGCCAACGTTTTTGTGAATTTCGTATCTAAGCTTGCAAGCTTCATTGGTTCAATTTTTGTGTCGAGTGTCGCTTTGTTCTTGAATTTTTTTACTACTTTACTGATTTCAGAGGGCGTAACAGGTCTTAACTCAATACTGCTAGTACCTATATCCGTCCTACGTCCGTCCTGTAAGAATTCTTCAAAACCTCCTGGATCGAAAGTTTGCCTAGCACTTATCTGGGACTTTATGTTGCTTGCAATGTTGGAAAAATACTCATTAAATTTAGCCGATACATCGGAATGGCTGCTGAGTATGTTTCCACATTCATCCTTTATTTTAATAGGCCCAGAGTGCCTGACATTTCTACCCAGGAGACTATTAATAAGTTGCCACTGCTTTTTGGAGTTGTCGCGGTACTCCTCAAAAAAGTTTTTGTAGTACTTGGTTTTGGCCAAATTTATATGTTTGTTACAAAATTTATTAATTTTTTTGTACGCAGCAATATTTGTCACGCTGGGAACTTTTATCTTATCGTGGTAGAGACGCTGTCTACGGGCACATGCATCTTCTAGCCACGGTAAGATCCAGGGTTTTGAGTCGTGCCGTTCATTTTTACGTCTAGGTCCAGGTTTCTTTTCAGGATATGCTTGATCGTAATGTTTGGAATAGATTTCACTGAATTTGTCATACTGGTCATTCGCATTAGTTTCTCTGTGCACCTCACTCCACGTTTCGCTCTCAATAATTCTTTTGAAATCAGCATGTGCAGCCGCATTGAACCTGCGGAAGTTCGGCACCTTCTCACGACCCTCACTCGATATAACACGCCTCCCTGCACTCCTGCCCAGTGAGAGTGTCGTCAGTGTTGCTAAGTGGTCCGACACATTGACCGTCAGTACATGACAACTCAAGGTATTTAATAGGTCGTTGGTATAGACGTGGTCAATTAAGGTTGCGCTATGATCAGTTACACGAGTGGGCCTTGACACCAGTTGTACAAATCCGTATTTTTCATAAACTGCGATAAGATTTTTCCCTGCTACATCTTTTTCGTGTTTTACTAAATCAACATTATAGTCACCGGTAAAAACGATGTGTTTGCGAGAGTGCCTATCAAGACTTCGAAGTAGGTTATCTAGAATTTCGGTAAATTTGTCAATACTCCTGGAAGGAGAGCGATAAACATTAACTAACAGTTTAGTTTTGTTGAAGCCTTTGCAGTTGTGAATCTTTACAAATTGGAACTCACCGTTCAAGTCACCATCCCCCTCAAAATTTGGCCTAAAAGATTCAATTTGTTCCGGATTACAGACCCGTTTGTTAATATATATCGTTAAACCCCCTCCCCTGCCTGTTTTCCTTACAGGGTCTTGCTGGAGAGGCTCGTAGAAATTTTCCAAAATAAGGTCAGTAATCCCGTTCGGTAATTTATTCAGAGTACAGTTGGTTTCATTAAAACTTAAGATATCGAAATTGCTATATGTGTCGATCTCTTCCCGGAAGTAGCTGATGTTATTATGTAGTGATCTCACATTTAGGGAAAAAATCTTGAGCTCGTTGCGATTCGCAGATTTTACGTGCGTCGGCTGCTTATATTCACAGCGTTGTAAGAATTGAGATAGCTCGTTCCAATAATCAGAGCAACCCTCGTGATCATCTAGCTTATCTCCTATATCATTTATTAAACAATCTCTGTGGTACGGATTAAATGAGATTTTGTCCGACTCTGTGCAGTAGTTCTCGTTCAAATCGATGCAGTTTATATTGAAACCTGCAATATTCTCCTCGCAACACTTCACACATCCTAACACACCTCTGTAGCATTTCACGTGAACTTTCCTGTCGCACCAATCACATTCTCTCACATTATTTATAGAATAAGACCATCCTAAACAAGCGTAACACTGTGCCTTAAATTTAACTTTCGCCTGCTGAGAGCCACTATCGTTTACAGTTTCATCAATATTCGATCGTAGATCGTTACTAGTATTACTGTTTTTACAGCTTTTGCATGACCAGGTAGGATTCGCTTTCAGTGCTTTAGCTTCAGACTTAGATAACGATTCGCATTTATGATGTTTAGTTGCTTTACATGTTGCACAAAAGAGTAATGGATGATTCTTTGTTAAACGTGTTTTACAAGTGCCACATTGTTTAGAATTGGTCGGTGGATCTACTTGATTAGTTATACTGATAATATTTAATATATAAAACTTGTAATATAGTTTCGCTATAGAACTAGGAAAACGTAACCTGTCAGAACTGTTCAGCAAGGACTATTCAGCCCTGAGTGTGAATCAGCTCGTGACTTTCCGACTAAACTAAGAGTAACCTGTACAGATTTACCTGTACAGAGTACAAATCAAAACCTGCCTGCCTGTTTATTATACCTGCCTGTTTAAAATGAAATTAAAAAAATACAAGATCTGTGTGAGAGTGTATACAAATTGTAGTGCTGTATCTGTGTGACCTCATTCCTGAAAAAAGTTTGTGTCACGTATGTCATCGTAAGATTGTACGTCGTATGTTCTATTATGTTATAAATGTCTGTCATGCTGACATAATAATTATAGTAATGAATATTTTGGGTTATTGATATGAAAGATCGTGACCGTTTAAGTGTGATTGTATTGTTATTATCAGCCTTGATTTAGTGAGATAGTGATGGTTGATTTCAGAAATAGTTGACTGAGTAAATGTAAAGGTTAATAGGCCGATTTGAATATTAGACTAGAATAAATTGTAAATATGAGATTACAGGATGAGATTAGATAGTGTTTGAAAGAGCCAATCAGATCATTTCTAGCCTCGGTGCTGAGCTGTGAGCAGCTGATTTTGAAAAAAATAAAGTCATGGGATCGCTAAGACATGAAAATATAGCAAATAATTGATGATAGCCACTAGCCAGTTTGAAATTATAGTGCGATTATTTAATTGTAATCCTCTTTTCATTGTACGATAGGCTGCACCCTCTGATGCAGGTATTTGTCGATACGTTTAATCACAGCAGATTTGTTGACATTTTGGGTAATTTAATAGACTTCTTTTAACATAACTTAAACTTAACTTTATCAGTCAGCTCAACTTCATGGCTTAAGCACAAAACTAGTTCACCTATAAGTGGACCGAGAAAATCGTTCTACTATGTTAGCATAAAGGACGCGTAAGGGTAGCGGCCCTTTACGCAGCCCCAGAGTCAAGAGGATACAGTGAACCCAGCTTCTGGTGAGCACTGATTTACCTAGCTTGTTGAAGTGAATGCCGTCGCGTGCCAGGTGCGGTAGGCCGAATAGAACATTATCAAAGAGTTTGAAATTTCTACTGCGTAAATTATTTGAGGATTCATGGACATCGGGGGACAAAGATACGAGTTTATCAATAATAAGTTTCAGATATGGGTTTGAGTCAAAGTCCCTAGCCTTGTGGTGGCTCCCCCCGTACTTATAAGGCAATGATCCGTAATAAGCCGTTTTCCTGCTCCCAAAATCACGGTCATATTCAGTCCCTGAGTCCAAGACTCCTGCATCAAAATCTGCGAACGGATTACCTTCGTAAAGTTCGTAAGGTTCCAGATTACCTGGTGAGTGCTGACTAACTGGAGCATCTGACGGTGCTGGAGCTGGAGGTTGAGAGAAACAGATGTCAGCGTTCTCTGGAACTGCAGGCGGAGCACACGTAGCTGGTGTTTGGAGGTCTGCTACCAGTGTCTGGGCGGAGTCGATGTTCTTCTTCAGCTCCTCCAACTGGGAGTTCGCTTCACAGACGTGCCTCGAAAAATGGGAGGTTAGATCGTTCAGTCTGTGTGTCAGTGCGTCGCCGTCAGTCATTAGAACACGAGTAAAGTGTTGTTTGAGGGAGAACTCCTTTTTCCTAGGCGTGTCACGTAATTCGACGTAGCTCTTGTCGTCGTAAATTCTCGTGAGCTCATCAAAAATTTGTTGGTCCGACAATTTGTCGACTAAATCAATGCAGAGTTGTGGGACAGTAAATCTGATAAAGATTACATATCACAAAAGAAATCTGCAGTGATATATAAAATGTCTTCTCACTCCCAATCTGTGGCTGAATAAAAGAAATGTAATATCATTCCAAATTTCAGCCGAGTACCAAAGACTATGATGTAATCAGCAAACGTTTTGCATCTGGGGGAGGAGATAATCTCGTCAAAGTTTGGAAATTTAGGTAGGGTTCAAATAAATTGTGTTCAGAAATTTTCATATTTGAAAATGAAACAGAATTTGTAAAATATGAATTTTCGTTTTGTAAAGCTTTCTGTAGTAAGCTTCCTCCAACCGGAATGAAAGTTCCAACAGCTCAATTGTGTCATATGCCATCTATAGTTGACTGACTAATTGGTTTCTGGAGAGGAAATCGGTCAAAACTGTGAAATTTCGGTCGAGGAAATTTCGTCTTCAAAAACTGAAAATGGGACAGGAAATGGGAGAGTATGATTTTTCCATTTTGTGGGGGATTTAGACTTCCAGTACTTCAATTTGGTCTCATACCATCCTCAATTAGCTAACTAATTGATCGGTGGGCAACATAATCATAAAATCGGTCAAATTTGTTTTAAAAAATTTTCGCATTTGAAAATGGGACAGAATTTGTAAAATATGAATTTTCGTTTTGTAAAGCTTTCTGTAGTAAGTTTCCTCCGACCGGAATCAAACTTCCAGCAGCTCAATTGTGTCATATGCCATCTATAGTTGACTGACTAATTGGTATCTGAAGAGGAAATCGGTCAAAACTGTGAAATTTCGGTGGAGGAAATTTCGTCTTCAAAAACTGAAAATGGGACAAGAAATGGGATCGGGAGAGTATGATTTTTCCATTTTGTGGGGGATTTTGACTTCCAGTACCTCAATTTGGTCTTATACTATCCTCAAATAGCTAAGTAATTGGTCGGTTGGCAAAAAGTCCATCAAATCGGTCAAATTTGTGTTCAGAAATTGTCATGTTTGAAAATGGGACAGAATTTGTAAAATATGAATTTTCGTTTTGTAAAGCTTTCTGTAGTAAGTTTCCTCCGACCGGAATCAAACTTCCAGCAGCTCAATTGTGTCATATGCCATCTATAGTTGACTGACTAATTGGTATCTGAAGAGGAAATCGGTCAAAACTGTGAAATTTCGGTCGAGGAAATTTCGTCTTCAAAAACTGAAAATGGGACAAGAAATGAGAGAGTATGATTTTTCCATTTTGTGGGGGATTTTGACTTCCAGTACCTCAATTTGGTCTTATACCATCCTCAAATAGCTAAGTAATTGGTCGGTTGGCAAAAAGTCCATCAAATCGGTCAAATTTGTGTTCAGAAATTGTCATGTTTGAAAATGGGACAGAATTTGTAAAATATGAATTTTCGTTTTGTAAAGCTTTCTGTAGTAGGCTTCCTCCGACCGGAATCAAAGTTCCAGCAGCTCAATTGTGTCATATGCTATATTTATAAATTGCACATATCAATAGATTCAGCTAAATATAGTTATTCGAAATATTAAATCAAACGTTTTCAGCGACGAGAAGAATGCGTGGGAGATGGAAGCTGAGCTGAAGGGACACAACAATTGGGTACGAGATGTAGCCTGGGCCCCGGACACTGGCTTCACTACCAGTACCATCGCCAGTTGCTGCCAGGACGGCAAAGTCTTTATTTGGCAATGTAAAGATCTCGACAAAGCTAACTGGGATATAAAGGTATAGTAAGGATATGTTAAATTATAGAACTTTACAAATGTCTCGTGTTTTGTTCATTTCCCGTAATTTCATCTTAATTTTATCTCAATTTGACAGCTCATAAGTTACTTAGGTTAATTTCCAGTCAAGAGCTAGTTCGTGTGTTGAGCTTCTTACAAAATTGCTTACCCGCTAATAATTATGACACTGCTGTATAGTGTATATATACACTATACAGCAGTGTGTATATCGAACTATCACAAAGCGATGTTAAATAATCGGTATCATTTTCAGAGAACGATGCACACATTTGATGACGTTGTGTGGCATTTAAGTTGGTCAGTAATGGGTGACATTCTAGCAGTCAGCGGTGGAGATAATAAGGTTCACGATTAGTAAATTATGATTAGACCGCAATCAGCATTAGTTTTGCCAACGTGGAACTTTTGCCACTCAAAGAAAACATTTTAGTAGTTGTAGCGCGCGTGTCATTTCTTGTTTGTCGGGAGACAGTTTAGCGCTAAATTTCACCGCGCGTGAGTTAATTTTACTCATCAGCTTTGAGCGTTTGATGTGTCCTGTAATGTACGGCAGCGATCATGAGCCCAAGCCCCTTACGTTTAAATTTGGACTCGCTTGTCGTTTCGTGACAACAAAATCCAATTGTGAACCGTCATCTGTTGCTCCACAGCTTCCGCTGGATTTATTTTATAATTCCTTCTTTTTCAGATAACGTTATGGAAAGAATCCCACAAAGGCGCCTGGATCTGTATAAGCAAACAAGACACTAATAAAACTAACTGATCATCACATGTTTGAAATCGTGACTTAATTGATGATATTATGGAATTGTTTTTTTTATAACAGTGACTGATTGGTTGGAGTTTTTCCAGGACAGATTATTCAGTTTCTTATGCTTAACGAATAGTTTTATTATATGCAAATTCAAATTTTATGGGATGATTAATAGAGGTATCGTAGGAATTTAACACTGTTATCCTCATCTTAATAACATATTTTTCGAAATTGCAGCAGACAGACCAGTGATTGTCGTAGCCTAGAGTCTAACTTTTCTTTTTGGCCCCCTGCTAAGGCAAAGAAAACGTCATGTTTTCACGATGATTAATAACATATAATAAGACTTAGCGCTTTTTTCCTGTGGGGTTATACGTTTTAAAGTATAGTAAATTTGTGTGTAAATTCAATATTTTGTAAAGATTCGCCCCAAATTCTTGATATTGGTTCATTGGTTGTACTAAAGAAGGAAAAATAGGTTTATAAATAATTTAAAATTAATCTAATTTTTAATCTAATGAATTGATAGTCTAAAATATTCCGGCGAATTTTCCTAAAGATCTTCAAAATTTTGTAGTGCATCTAAAATGTATTACGAAAGCCCGAAAAAGTCTAAATATATTATACATCATCAGAGCCAGCTAATGTCTTAGACTCTTAGAAAACTGTTGCAAAAGATGGCAGCTAACAGCGTCTCTGCTTTTTTTACAAATAGGAAATGAAAAATTTAGCTCTGTGCCACTTCCAGCTGTTTCAAAGCAAAAGATATATTTTCCACCGGGAAGTTGTATCAGTTGATAAATATTGAGTCTGAATAATTTTCTATCTCCATGGTATATAATTTGATTTTTCGTCTTTACATGTGAAATGAGACCGTCTCTCTAGTTCTTAGCCTCAGCAGCAACATCACCTGAAAAGTGTCCTGGTGTTATCAAACGTACACATAATTTGGAATATAAAATGGCTAATCTGATGTCACATGTATTTTAATGAACTAACTATTCTGATATTAGGGGTCGTTCTTGATGTGGCAAGGGGCAGATGATACTTTTGATGTTCTGTTTCATTCAGTGAGCAAACTTGTCACATAGGATCAGTACATAAATTGTACAGGCTCGCCCAGAGTAGATGAGCACCCTCAGCCCTGTATACCGGATGATAAGCAAGATATGGGACACAATCAACAACCGCTCATATCCCTAAGAAAACTAGGGAGTCCAAAAGTCTCCCTAAAGAGATTTAAACAGAGTGCCTGAGAGACCAGTGGATAGAGTTTACCAGACTCCATAAGTACGGCAGACCTTATCTTCTGTGTTCTAGTGATCCTCAATATCCATTGTACCAGTTACCGACTTTTGGTGTGGGTGGTAGAAGGATAAGGGGTCGTTCATATATTACGTAGTCAGCTGAGGGGGGGGGGGGGGGGGGGGTTCCCGAATGATTATTGATTACGCTAGTGTAATTTTGACACAATAGCTATGTGTAAAACTAATAACGGAGAGGGGGGGGGGGGGGGGGGGGTAAAAATGTTCCAAAACATGATTACGTAATATGTGAACGACCCCTAAGCGATAAAATCAAACCCATTTACTTCAATAATAAAAAGATGAGCTGATGAAAACGAGAGAAAATGGTGGTAACTGTTAGTGTGATAGTTACTGGTAAACTAAATTGAAGCATCATCTATTTTATTAAGTTTTAAACACACTATGAGTCAAACCTGTCGCCAATCTTAACAGTCAACCAGGGCTCAAAAAAGCTAATAAAAGCGCCAGGGTCCTTTCACCAGCTGTGCCATTGAGGGTGGCAGTCAGGCAGTGGGTATCGGCAAGAATACGCATTGTTTTTCTAACATCTATGATTTTTATGGTAATAGCCGTAGTATAGTTATATCGGAGTTTAACTGTATTACTGTATATATTTGAATTGATTGATTCCATTGGTTGATCGGTTAAAAATCATCTTTATTTTTTAATGGTCTTTTGAATTGAATTAATGGTGATAAGTATAAAACATAAAATAAAAGTAACCACCAGGAAGCATGTCAAAAAGGGTACCCTTAAAAAATGTAGATGTGGACGACAGCAGGAGAGCTATGAGGGTACTTAAGAATTTTCCAGGCCTGTGGAACAAGAAGGGTGAGTACAAATCTTTCCTGTATTAAATCTTTGTACAGTTTCGGCTTGCACTATGCTCCTTGTTTGCACTTAAAATACACTACACCAGTGTAGAGTAATATGTATGTACTACATGTAAATGAAGTATCAGAACTCAGAAATGAAAAGAATCTAAAAGCAAACTTAACCTGTAGAAAGAATTGAACAGTGTTTTAATCTTAGCTTGAGACTCCAAAATGTAGAGAATATGACTGCTTCATAGTTAAATTGTAACTAATTATGTCAATATTCAATTCCTACAACTCCTTTTTCAGAATACAACCGCGTCCACTGTCGTCAACAGCTAAGAAAAGAAGCGGAGAAATTTGTCCGTGAACTGCTCAGAAAAGAACAAGAGGACGGCAAATGCTATTGGAGCGACTTAAAACAAAGAGCAGGGCCCCGATGGTGTGAGTTTCAATAAACATTCAATAATTTTAGGGGCCATTCATAAATTAAATCAAGCAAGGGGAGACTTAATGGGGGACGGGCTTCAAACACCGTTGGTAGAATTGTAGTCTGCAATCTGAAAGTGTAATATGCTGTGTTTCTATTTTAGGACTTAAAAATTATTATTCTGCTTCCCTGTATAAGTGATGCCCCGACAACAAGCTCAGAGCTGTTGATAAATTGTTGGAACATTTTAAGCATTAAGAATTTATCCAGGGAATATGATCGAAGAGAGGATCGAAACGATAAAAAAGAATTTGACGAAACTGGTAGAGAGAAAGGAAAAGGTGAGTTTCTCGATTCGCTAATTTTGATTCTAATCATCCCTGTTTCACACTTTCAGTTTTCTTTTCACAAATTTGTATTGATAATATATACTATTATAATATAGTATTATTTTCGACTAACTATATAATCTGAATTCAGAAATGTTATGTTAAAAGTTTCAAATCTCTCGATTTCAGGGAGAACTAAACCCGAAGTTGAGGTTCATGGTGGGGGCCTACTCAGACTGGCCCTCAGAAGAACTGGTATGGGCAGCAAACATTGTATCAGCTAACAAATTCGAGGACGGACGATCTCTGGGAGAAGACTTGGCAGTGAAGGTTTACCCTACAATATTTGAATTAAAATTAAATAAATTTACCCAAAATTTGTCAAATATATTGAAATATTAGCTATTTAAGATATAACAAGTTGATTTAATCTTTATCTCCACCCAGGTGACTCCATCAACGGGTATAAGAATAAGGAAGCAGCCAGCCCAGCAGATATCCCCGCAGCCACAGCAGAAATCCCCGCAACCACAGCAGACATCCCCGCAACTACAGCAAACATCCCGGCAGCCACATCAGGCATCCCATCAGACAATAAGGAAGCAGCCAGCCCAGCAGACATCCCCGCAGCCACAGCAGAAATCCCGGCAGCCACATCAGGCATCCCATCGGACAATAAGGAAGCAGCCAGCCCAGCAGACATCCCCGCAGCCACAGCAGAAATCCCCGCAGCCACAGCAGACATCCCCGCAGCCACAGCAGACATCCCCGCAGCCACAGCAGACATCCCCGCAACCACAGCAGACATCCCGGCAGCCACAACAGACATCTCCGCAACCACAACAGACATCCCATAAGCCACAGCAGATATCCCGGCAGCCACAGCAGACATATATGATGTCCATAATAAGGAAGCAGCCAGCCCAGCAAACATCCCGGCGGCCACAGCAGACATCCCGCCAGCCACAGCAGACATCCCCGCAACCACATCAGACATCCCGGCAGCCACAGCGGACATCCCATTGGACACTACCATGTAACTGTAAGTGTTGGAATTAAAGTGGAACTATTTAATGATAATGAACAACTTAAGGGGGCATACACCAAATCTGTTTAGACCAAATGACCTCATAGGCAGTTCAGTGACCTTCTAGCGCACCGTTTCCACACAAAAAAAAATAATTTTGAGAATACCTATTTTTGTAATCGAGCATTTCCTGGTTAAGAGTGCAATTTTCGGAAAAAATAATTTTTTGGTCGAGACGCTACAAGTTAATCATTTCTTGCGGTATCGGGTTGAAATTTTGTTCGCCGTTTATTCAAATCTATTTCAAGGTGTGTGTAAAATCGTGATATCGTATCTAAAAAGCCTGGTGTGTTATAAATTTTTAAAGTCAAAAAGCTAAAATTGTCCTTTTCAGGCTTATTTTAACAAAAAGTCAGTCAGGGAAGATCGGATTGATTTGATGGTTGACATCAAATTGTTCTCTGAATTCTGGCGCAGTTTTTGATGCCCTCAAAAACGTTTTTACTCATTTATCTTCAGATCTATTGGACCTCAAAGCCAAACAACAAATTTAGGCACATTTTTCGTTTTTAATATTTACTGATTTTTCTAAAATTTTGATAGGAATGTGCTTGTGACTTTTTGAAGGGTGCAAAATAACCGCAACTAGCACATTTATACATGAGTTATGAACAGCAAAACACCCTAAAATGCTTTCCTTTGAAGTTATGGGAGAAAATGTGATTTTTTATCTGCAAAGCCAAAATATCACATTTTCTCCCATAACTTCAAAGGGAAGCATTCTAGGGTGTTTTGCTGTTCATAACTCATATATAAATGTGCTAGTTGCGGTTATTTTACACCCTTCAAAAAGTCACAAGCACATTCCTATCAAAATTTTAGAAAAATCAGTAAATATTAAAAACGAAAAATGTGCCTAAATTTGTTGTTTGGCTTTGAGGTCCAATAGATCTGAAGATAAATGAGTAAAAACGTTTTTGAGGGCATCAAAAACTGCGCCAGAATTCAGAGAACAATTTGATGTCAACCATCAAATCAATCCGATCTTCCCTGACTGACTTTTTGTTAAAATAAGCCTGAAAAGGACAATTTTAGCTTTTTGACTTTAAAAATTTATAACACACCAGGCTTTTTAGATACGATATCACGATTTTACACACACCTTGAAATAGATGTGAATAAACGGCGAACAAAATTTCAACCCGATACCGCAAGAAATGATTAACTTATAGCGTTTCAACCAAAAAATTATTTTTTACGAAAATTACACTCTTAACCAGGAAATGCTCGATTAAAAAAATAGGTATTCTCAAAATAATTTTTTTTTGTGTGGAAACGGTGCGCTAGAAGGTCACTGAACTGCCCATGAGGTCATTTGGTCTGGACGGCACAAACCACTGTTTTGGTGTATGCCCCCTTAACCAGCGTACATGTTTCTTCTACGCTCAATTAAAAAAAGGGGTGGGGGTAACGGTAGGACACATTACAAATTTTCATTACATCAAAGTTTTCTCCGGATACACTGCTTCCAGTACCTTGGTCCTTGATGGCGACTTTTGTCACTCTCACTGACCTCACTGATAGGGGACTGGTAAAAATTTCAGTCAAAACCGCGAAATTTGGGCCAAGGGGACGGCAGAAAAGCTCCTCTTCAAAAATCTTCCAAAATCTCTATTTATATTCTGATGATTTTCCGTTTATCAAAGCTTTCTTTGGGAATAGAACTTTGACTACCTCAATAGTGTCTTGTGCCATCCTCAGTGACCTTGTAAGATGGTTTTTCAAGAAAAAATTTTCAAAACAGTGAAACTTGGGTCGTGGAAAGGTTGGGTCATGTTTTATACTTATAGTTAAGACCAGTAATTTGCAGATGTAATATTGTAACATACATATTCTTAATAACATATTCTTTGCATTTTCAGCGAAGAGGATAAAAAGGAAGCATGAACCTGTTGGCTCGCTTCCAAGTAAGTTATCCAAGAGAATTTATAAAAGATTTGAAATTTCACTAGGATCGTATTTATACTGTACAGATTGACCCATATGTCAGATTACATAATTTTTTGCTATACAATTTAAAATAATACATCATTTATATCATTTCACAGCATTTGAAAGAGCTAAGATCATACTACATAAACATTCACCCAGCAGTATTGTTTTTCCGTGCCTAACGACTGTCGACTTCGTAAGTAGTAACGAAAATGACCAATTAAATCGCACCAAGGTCATAATGTCAATTACCACGATCCACGATCAGCGTCAGTTGAAAACATTGACACTATTACCAATGGAATAAATCACTGTAACTTGGATTTTCGAGAAGATGAGCCATAGGCTACCTGTCACCAAGATGTAAATCAGATCGAACGAGAAATTAGATCGAACCAGTTCGATCTAGGAATTAGATCGAACGCGCGGCGCGGCCTTTCAATGTATTTGTATATGTATCTCGCGCCAGCGTTCGATCTAATTCCTAGATCGAACTGGTTCGATCTAATTTCTCGTTCGATCTGATTTACATCTTGGTGACAGTACCGGCCAAATGAACCCAATTTGGACTTTTCCTAGACAGGGTAGCTTGGGAAAATAATTAAAAACCCAATCAGTCTGCCTAATTAACCTTGAAACGTCCAAATGCAAGGCCATAAATTAGTTCTAATTATATCAAGATCTCCCACTCACCTTTCATTTACAGGGGGTCCTTTCCAAAACGGTACTTAAGTCAAAAATGGTACTTAAGTAAAAAGTTAAAAAAGATCACCCTCCACCAGTCACTTTTAATTTTATATTATTTTAATTTTATTTCGGCCAAATTTAGGTTATGACAGTACATAGTAGTAACACAGTTAGAAAATCTGCTATTTAACTCAGTTTATTTTTCAGTTGATCAGGAACTGATGGACAGAGAAGCTGATAAAACCAAAATGACGAATCTGCTAGTAGATGCTGCATTAGAAACTAACTTTAATCTAGTTTATCAGTTTATCAAAAGAAAGACACGTAGTATTGAAGACTCTCTTGTTTAATCACACCGATAAACTGTCACAGTGTGACAGTGTGACAGTGTGACTTATTATTGGCGAATTTCTTTTTAATTTTATGTTAATTTACGCTTTTGAAGTTGACCAGTCTGGACATGTTTTAGTTGTACGACCTGTTTTAGTAGCCGGTTAACCCTTTAACCGGATAGTGATCTTTCAGCGGTAATAAACGGCGTTATCCCGGTCATAACTATAAGGCGGTAATAAACGGCGTTATCCCGGTCATAACTATAAGGCGGTAATAAACGGCGTTATCCCGTTCTTAAGCGTTGATTGCTGTTTGTTTCCAACCCCATTAGCTCAGAGTTTTGATGAAATGGTAAACTAATTACTTTGTTATCAATTAATAACTTTTACAGTTTTACACCTTACTTTAAAGTCTATAAATAGTATATAAATAATATTTCTTATATCAATACTGACAATTGTAATTCAACAAGTAACGATATGCAATTGCAGACTAAATTCATTGTTTTACTTCGAGTAACGATTTGTAATACTAATATATTGATGCCGATGGATTAACATATTATTATGGATGTATAAGTTCAGTTTGCTCTCTGCTGCTTTGTCCTCACGGCTGTTGATCAAAATCTTTGAGAGTAAAGCCGCACGACACACCACCAACATCAGCAACACAACGGAATCAATCCTCAAACAATGAACCTATTTAACTTGAAGTCGTATCCTTTCGGTTTGGGTACGGCCTGGATAATTCCTTTCATTGGCAAATATTTATTGCTATTTTTCATATAGTTAAGTTAATTTTATTGTTAAATTGTTAATTTGTTAGTTAAATTATTCAAATATAATAAAATAGTTAAATTGTAGCTGTGAAAGATTAAATGTTATCAACTTTGATAACATTTAATCTGCTGGTCATTTCAATCAATCCTTTGTCCATTTCAATAATATTGAAGGGTTTAGGTCTGTGTCAGCAAAATGGTAAGTATAATAGGCTTCAGACTTAGAAAAAGAGCGTAGTTTCGGAGTAAATTAAATGTTTGACTTTGAGGTCAAGAACGGGAGATCAAACAAAAACCGTGTATATATGTGACGGATTTACAAATGACAAAGATTCTCCCTTCCTGTTTTGTATCAAATATCAGTAGTTTAAAAAGGCGCTGAATAATTATAATCAACTCACCATCCATTGCAGGCTAGGTGACTAGGTAAGTGGCTAGCATCGCCGTCTTTGAATCCGCGAGTTTGAATCCCGGCGTCGTTTAGTCGAGGGGGTGAAATAAAGATTACAACATTACATATCTGTGTTGCCTCTCCTCAGTTTACTCAGCTAAATAAACGGGAAATGTAGTTGAGGTTCATTCAATATCATGTTGATTTATACTTATAACTGACACGTCAATATACAATATAATCCTTTCGATGTTCAATTGTCTTCACTTTCAGTCATTACAGTATTGGCGCCATCATATCATTTAATAAAGCAATAACTATATGAATATATACTGCAAATGTAATTATTATAGATCCAAACTTCCCATCTGATCAAGAGTCTGAGTAATTGCATTTTGTCACAATAAGTCGGGAAACAGATTACGATGTAGATTTCGTTCATTACAATATCATGAAAACTTCATAAGTTAAATCACGGCTGGTTTCACGGCTTTATTTTTGTTTAGATCAGAAACAATATCATAACTTGAATCATCTCAGAACTATGAAAGTACAGCTGCAGTGTCATTGAGTACATAACACAGTATTTCCTACTTCAATAGTTTCAATTGTCTAGAGCAAGATGACTTGATTGAGAAGTCAGAAAGTACGTAGTGTGACATGGCATGTTTCCAGTTAATTTCATTTCAGTAAAATACAATTATTCAGTTTTTACTCATTTCGTTTGTTGTCGTTAGAAGAGTTTCAGTTTGTAAACTTTACTGTAAAGGTATTATACCTCGAACAAGAAGTTATAGTTGTCTAATCAAGAAGGGTATCATGGTAAAGCATATGAATCTGTACAAGATATACGCTCATCGGAAGGACAGGTAATAAATTATTTGCAAAACTAAACTTCTTGGCTATAGCCAGCTTATCTTTACATTGGTAATATAATTCTTGACCCATTTTACAAAAAGAATGGTACATATTTAAGGTAAGGTTAGACCGGCCTATTCTTTTTCTTCTTTACCTGGGACCCCAGGCTATTGTGTTCATAAAAATATGAATAGAGATTCGGCGGAATGACAGGCTGAGCGCCGCCCAGTAATTTCTTCTGTGTTATACATTTGACCAAAACCCATAATCATGGGTAGAGTGGACCGCTGCCAGTGTCTCTCTTTCCCAAACAAAAGGAAATGATATTAATTTGATTGACCGTTCTCAAATGCAAAATGATACCGAGAATGAAATCGGTCGCTCGCTTTTCCCATTCATTCACGGCTTACGAATTGTAATAAGTTTCGATTGATTAGGTACATCAATCAGATGCTGTAAAAATCTCTTTGGGTTGCGTTCGGGTCGATACCTAGTATTTCGGGGTAAGGGTGGTAGTTATTACTTATTGAATTAGCTGAAGTTTATTGAATCTTTATTGCCGAGTACAGCTGCCTTTGGGTAGTTCTTCTTAATCTATTACAATTGTAAATGAATGGGAAAAGCGAGCGACCGATTTCATTCTCGGTATCATTTTGCATTTGAGAACGGTCAATCAAATTAATATCATTTCCTTTTGTTTGGGAAAGAGAGACACTGGCAGCGGTCCACTCTACCCATGATTATGGGTTTTGGTCAAATATCATCTCTTTTTGATAATAATGTCAGGGTACTTTATAAAGTCGAAATATAAACTAATATCTTCATTAATAAGGAGGAAGTTTCAACAATTTCGAAATTTTTCCTTTAAAAACATTTCCTTGTGTTTAGGTAAGCATATCGGTCGATCACTGACTGAATATGCCACTTAATACTAATTCAAGTTGGCATTAAATTCATTTATAATGACATTAAACTGTCGTGGCAAAGCAGAATTTGTTGGAAATCACGAATGAGCAAAATTCTCACCTTTCGCACGTGCAAACTTTGAGCGGACGTTGCGTGCGCATCCAATATTGAATCGCCGTAAATTTTTGCATGTAATTGTTTTATATATAGCTTGATAAGCACGCAAAGTTTCAAAGTATTTCAAGAAGAACTGTAATCACAACGGCACTCTAAAGTTGACAGAAAATGACGAAAACAGCAATTTTCAGTGATTTTAGCAATTTTTTATAAATTTGGGCGTGTCCCCACGTGTGCAACTTTTCGATTTTTAACTTTAAAACTAGCCTAATGCACAATTTATACCTATAGGAAGCAGAACTGAGCTCCACAACCTAAGGCATGGCCCAACACCAGAGAATACTAAATCGCAAAATTGACGTTTTTATAAAATAATTCTTCAAAAAAGCACAAACTTCAATGACGAATATCTTTATGAAGGAGCAAGCTAGAAAAACTTTCCGGTAGATTTTCAGAATGCTTGAACAATTATCTAAGATGAAAATTTCCTCAGATTTTGAATACAATTACTTTTTAATGGTGTAAAATCATTTTTAAAAGTTATTACTTTGTCAAAAATCAAGTTTTAAAAACGGTTAACTTGATGACGTCATCAAGGGGTGTTCATGACGTCAAATAATTTGTTTATACAATGTAAACTAAAGTGTAAACAATTATTTTCAAGACCTGTGGTCGGAAATGGCTGTATCTTTTATACTTTTGAATCTATGGACAATTAAATACAGGCTACAATTGACTGGCAAAGCGTCTATCCCTGAATATACCTTATCGGACCTTATTTGGACGGACATTACATGAACGGACATAATTATGAACGGACATTAATATGAACGCTCGAAGGCATTCAAAACCATCAAAAATCCGAATTTTTTTTGACGTTTTTTAAATTTCAGCAAATGATTTTTAAATCCATTTTTATACAGTTAGTAAGAAAAGCAGTCATTAAGCAGTAAAAATGTTTAAAAATGTGTACATGATCAGTGTCTAATATCACATATCATCTTCATCAAATGGGTTTTCGTGCATGAAATAGTCCATGCTTAAAGCATCAGTGATTTCTAGCTTTATGGAAACCTTTTTATCAAACTACCCCGGTCATGCATTTCAGTGTTAACTTTTACAAGCCATTCGGCGATATGAAGTGGTTTTATCTTAGACAACTTAAGGTTAACCTTAACATCACGTGGAGCTTTCCTATCACTGTTTCATTACCGCCCCCGAGTAATATGAACTATAACAACGTCGGACAATGTCCTTGGCAACACGATTTACCCATAATATCTAGAGGCTGGAACAAGTTTGTCATGTTGGCGGGGAGTAGTTCATGAACTATGTTGTTGAGTGCCATAATTTCGTTGACTTTTTTCCGTCAAGCGACCCTTGAAAACATCATATACTAGTAGTAGTAGTAGTAGAGTTTTCTGTGCCTCCGGCAGACCAAGGAGAACCTTTCCGTCATTAACTTACGGCACAATAAAGTTCTTAAAGTTGTCATATTCTGGACAAAAAGTTCGAAATGGAAAAATTTTTGAAAAAATTTCAACGGACTTTAACTTGGACGGACATTAATTGAACGGACTTTATTTGAACGGACATTAAGATGAACGCTAGGGCCTCCAGCGTTCAAGTAATGTCCGTCCAAATAAGGTCCGATAAGGTATATGTATATATATTATATATAGATAGATATCACGACAATCTGTCGTAAAACAGGGGTTCTAGAAAACCCACTTCCCGATGTTCCTGAAACCTGAAACTTTTTTTGCAGTCGATTTGGTCAACGTCTAGACGCCCTGAAAAATTTCAGATCTCTAACTCGATTTTAACATGGTTTTTAAGGCACCTGAATATGGCGATTTTGGGTTTTTTACCGAATTTCGTATAACAGTGCTGGCGAGTATTTTATGCAAATTTCTTAAAAATCTCAACATAACTATTTTTTATTCCTGTCATCTTTGACATCAAATTAGAATGTTTTGGACTAAAAATAAATCTGCTGAACGACTTCCGATGATTCTTAATGCCTGAAAAACTCCTGCCGGAGGCGGCGGCCTTCGGCCGCCGCCTCCGGCCGGAGTGCACGCTTCGCGTGCACGAAAGAGGCTTGTAACGTGTACCAAAGGGGGTATAATAGTAAAGGGGGTATAATAGTAAAAGGGGTATAATAGTAAAGGGGGTACATAGTATACCCACAATAAATGCACCGGTCGTGCTTGCCAGCACTGTGATCTACTCTTTTTCTTATTCATTATCATAGTCATATAATTTCAGCTGCCATATATATTATGTCATATATATTATATATATTACTATCACACTTTCGAGCCAAATTTAGCAGGAAAGCAGAATTGATATTACATGCCCCGATGGGGAGCACTGGCGCTCACCCGGGGGCATGAAATATCAATCAGTTACTCAGAGAGAGCCCGATATTCCCATAGGAA